CATTTTTTTATATTTTTTTTGATTGTTTTTGCGACTGATTTTCTCTCTCCCCCCCCTTCGTTTTTCACCGTCTCCCCACATCCTCCTCCTCTTCCCCCCCAAATAAATAACGATAAATGATTTAATTTTGTTTTTGACGTGACGTGTAAATAAAAAAAAAAAAATTTTATAAAACAATATTTAAAATCCACCCTTAAAATTTTTTTTTTAAGTTTCGTTTTAAATCCCGTATTAACAATTTTCACCGGAAACAATTTTATTTTTTTTCTTCTGCTTTTCAATTTTATTTTTTTTAAATTATATAAATCCCAATAAGTTTATTTGCAATTCTTTTTTCTTTCTCCTCTTCCTCCCCCTCCTTCCTAAAAGAATAGAATAAGAGAAGAGAAGAGAAAAAAAAAGGGAAAAAACTTGTGGAAAAAACGACAGGTGTAGTCGAGAAAAGACTTCAATTTAAATAAAAAATAAAATTTTCTTTTTTTCCCTTCCCTCCTCCCCTCCTCCCCTCCCCTTCCCTCTCCTTCCCCGTTTCTTAAATTTTTTCAATTTTATTTATCGTATCGATTTTTAATCGATTTTATCGATATTTCAAATATTTGTTTAAGTGAAATTTTTTTTTGAAAAATTTTTTTTTTCATTTTCTTTCGTCTTTCCCCCTTCCCTCGCCCTTCCCCCGGTTAAAAATCAATGATAAATATTTGTTGCAGAAAAAATAAACCATGTGATCTTAAGTTTTTTTAAATAAATAAATTTCATGCCTGATGACGTTTACATATAAATATATATTATGTTAATTAATATTAAAATTATAAATCATTTTAATTGATTACGTATTTAATTAATAAATAATATTTAATTTATTATATGTGTATGTGTATATATTCTGATCGCTTCGTAAATTTTTCCTCCTCCCCCCGCCTCGCCCCGCCCCCACCCCAAACCACGTGATTATCATTTATTATTTATTATGACGGTTACGTTAAAAACCGCCTCTTTTTTTTTAAATAAACCCTTTCGCCATTATTTAAAGCTTATAAATTTACGCCGTAATGTAAAAAATCACAAAAAAATAATAATAATAATAACTTTACGTATTCATACGTTTTTTTTTTTACGAAGAATTTATATATATATATATATATATATTTTATAAATATTTATCAAGGCGTGTGAGTATAAATAATAAATATTTTTCAGTTCTTTCGGATGGAAAATACGCGTGAAGGAAAAGTTGCGAGGGCGTAATTTTTACCCAAAAAAATTTCTTTTCCTCTCCCTTTCCCCTCCCTCCTCCCCTCCCCTACCCCGTTAATTAATCAGATTATGTTTTTTTTTTTCGTAATGTTTGGGTCACGAATTTTTTCCTTTTTTTTTTTTGAAAGGTGTCAAATTATAATTAAAAAAAAAAAAAATGTTTACGCGGAAATTAATTTGAAAAAAAAAAGAAAATTTTCCATTATCACGTTTATTTTTTTGCTTTCTTTCCGTTTCCGTTTTTTAACGGTTTTTTTTTTTTCAATTTAAAATGATTTAAACAAATGCGACGTAAAAATTTAATGTTTTAAATTTAAAAAAAAAAAAAAAATTATTAGTTGTGATAAAAAAAAAAAAAAAAAAATTACAAACATGAACAATATTTAAACGAACATTTCCTTTCTTTTTTTGAGGGGGGGGTGGGGGGATTTCGCATTACATTATTTTTCAAGACTTAAATCTTATTTCAGTTTGTAATTTATCACCCTCTCTCCCCCCCTCCCCCTTGTTTTTTTTTTTTTTTTTTTTTTTTGTTAATTTTAAACCGAAATAAACTTTTCCTCCTATTCTTTATCCCCCTGTTCGAATTAAATTACTTTGTTAGTTTTCTCTTAATAAGAAAACAAAACAGGAAAAAAATTATCCGGTCGAATTTATTCTTTTCTCTCTCTCTTTCACAAATTATTTCCTTATCACAATTAATCAATTATAACACATTTATTATCATGACATTCAAATTTAAACAAATTCGACGATGACGTAATTCATACCCTGTAAATAAACCTTTTGTACGTTTTAAACTTTTAAAAAATTTATTATTTAACGAATCCTTTCTCAATTTATTTACCTCAAAAACAAAAACAACAACAACAACAACAACAACAACAACAACAATAACAACAACAACAACAATAACAACAACAACAATAACAACAACAACAATAACAACAACAACAACAACAACAACAACAACTACCATTTTCTATAAACAAAATGAATTTCGAGTGTCACACAAGTTTAAACAAATAATAATGATACTATTAACAAATATATATTTACCAACTACTTTCTTCTTATCTAAAAATCTAATTACTACAAAATTTTCTTTTCAGACCTCTACATCTCGCATAAATAAATTTAATCGATTTTCCAACCATTTTCGAAAATAAAATTTTTCCCATTGACATCTCACACATCAACATATTATTATTATCATCATCATCACCGAGGTGAAAAGCAAAAAAAAAGTAAAAAAAAAGTTTTTTTTCTCTTACGAGGCTTAATTGGTTTTTTTTTTTTTTTACGCGACCGTTGAAATTTATTATTATTATCATTATCATTATCATTATTACGTTTTAGAAGTTTTAATCTTGAAAAATATAACAAAAAAAATTAATTTTATTAATAATTAAATAAAAACGTTCGTTCGTCGTGAACAAAAAAAAAAAAAAATTTCTTTTAATAATTTTAAATTAAGTTAAACTTATGCCCTTTTTACATCAATCGTCCGTACCCCCTTCGAGTTTTCATTTAAATTATCTTACGTCATTTCCGGTTGTGCCGTTCGTTTGCGACTAATATTCGAAAAACAGAGAACTTCTAAGGAAAAACCTCTGTACGTCTAATATTTTAAATGAACGTTATTATTATTATTATTATTATTATTATTATTATTATTATTATTATTATTATTATTATTATTATTATGGGTGGAAAATTTAGTTTTCGAAAGATGCGCAAGTTATTTACATAAGTAAAACATTATTTGTTAAATTTGAAAAAAGCGAAGGGGAAAAAAAAAATTTTCCGCCTTTAAGAATTTTCCAAATCCTTTTGTTCTTTTTTTTTGGGGGGGGTTCGGGTGAGTTGAGGGGAAACGGGGGGTTACATTCGATTCACGTTTAAATCAAAGTAAATCTTACGATGGAAAATTTCCACGGAGAGAATTTTAATATCACAAAAAAAAGAAAAATCTTTTTTTAGAATTTTATCCATCTCTGAAAATTCTATGAATTACATCATCATGATCATCAAAAACGGGGGGCAAAAAAAAAATGGCGAAATAAAATAAAATTTTTTTTTTCTTTCCTTTTTTTTTTGAAATTCTTTTGAAAAAAAGAAGCGATTATATTTTTAAAAATAAAATTCATTAGAGTTTAAAATAAAATAAAATAAAAGGAAAAAAATAAAAGGAAAAAAAAAATTCAATTAAAAATAAAAGAAAAGCTCAACGGGAAGGAAAAAAAGGAAAACTGTTAGCCCTTTTTTTTCCTTTTTTTTTTCTGGGGGGAAGGATTTATTTAAAATCCAGATTAAAATTAAACATGTTGCATCAGAGCTCCCTTTAAAATCCAGAGCCTATGCTTTCCGGCAAAAGGGATTTATTTTAAATTCTAATAAAATCTTTAAGAAAATGGTCTACGAAGAAAATTCTATTTTCTTTTTTTATTTCTTTATATAGAAAAAAAAATTTTCCTTTTTACCAAAAATTTCTCTTCCGGTTCGATAATTTTATAGACATTGATTATTGTATACGTGTGTGCGTGTGCGTGTGCGTGTGCGTGGGAGGGTGAGAATATGAATGAGTATCGCATACGTTTTAACATTTTCAATAAAAACTTAATGTACGCGTATATGTTTCCTTTGAAAAAAAGAAAAAAATACACAAAGGATTCGAAAAAATGTTTTGAATTTGTTTATCGATTCGAACGAACCCCTCCCCCTCCCTCCCCCCACTTTAATATTTCATCATGTTTACCCTTATTATGTTTTTTTGCTTTTCCACAGATAATTTAATTCAAGTAAATAATTTTTAAAATTGAAAAAAAAATTTTCTTTCAAGTTTGAACATCTGTTTATTTTTTCCGACTTTCTATCTCTCTCTCTCTCTCAAGTAAACATTTGTTTATTTTTCCCACTCTCTCTCTCTTTCTCTTTCTTTTCTCTCTCTCACTCTTTCTCTCTCTCTCTCTTTCTCTCTTTCTCTCTCTCTCTCTCTTTCTCTCTTTCTTTCTTTCTCTCTCTCTCTCTTTCTTTCTCTCTCTCTTTCTCTTTCTGTTTCTCTCTCTTTCGAAGAGTGGTATCTGTACACCAGACCTTCATTTTATTTCATTAAAAAAATTTTTTTAATGATTTTTTAAATTTTTTCTTTACATTTTTTCCCTGCCCCCCCCCAAAAAAAAAAGAAAACTCACGTTTACTTTATGCGAGGGGCTTTATACACGACATATAATAAATCCCTGATTTTTCTTTTCTTTCTTTCTTTTGTCCTTAAATGAAATTTTTTTTTTTTTAAAGAGTTTTCTTTTTTTTTTTTCTTTTTTTTTTTTTTTTTTTTAATTTTAATTGATTCTTTTCGCGTCCCTGTTGTTATAATTAAATTACTTTTCACTTTTACAACTCACAATTTTTTCTTTCTTCCTTTTTTTTTCTTCCTTTTATTTCTCCGGCTTTTTTTTATTTAAAAAAAAAAAAAAAAAAAAACAGGTACAAATTTTTATAAAATGATTTAAAAGGAAAAAAAAAATTTTACGTTTTATTCTCCCAAATGCTCCTACACTATTTTAAATGCTATGCCTTTGAACCACGTGACCGAAATACGCCATTTTATACACGTCATTAAATTTAAAAAAAAATTATCATTATTATTTTTTTTCTTTTTTTTTTCCAAAAGGTAAATCAAATGAATGCGGACTTACTTCAAATAAAAGGGTTTAAAAAAAGGCAAAATATTTATTCGGAAAGGAATGGTGAAGGAGCGGAGGATGTCTCTCTATTTATTATGGGGGGGGGCAATTTTCCTCCTGCTCGGAGGAGAGGTTTCATCTCAACAGGTGACCCAGAATTGTCCATCCCACGGGGAAATATTACCATGTAAATGCACAGTAAAAAAAGTCAGTAGAGTAAAACTTTTTTCTTTTTCACCCCCCCCCAACCCCCCATCCCCCCATTTTCATAAATTTTTTATTTTTTTATTTTTTTTTCAGATGGGTTTGGACATATTGTGCGAATATACGGATCCGAGTCATATAGCAAAAGCCATGGGAGCATTAAAAGGAAAACCCTCGTCTATGGTTATTTATTATTTAAAACTACGTCACAACATGATGCCTAAACTTCAAGGTTTTATATTTTTAGGATTGGAAATAAGTCATTTGACCATACACAACAGCAGTTTGGCAGTCGTTGAAGAAACTTCATTGAGTTCGATAGGTATCGATCGCACGCGCGTTTCCCCTTCCTCCCCCCCTCCCCCCAAAAAAAAAACAAAAAAACCTTAGCTTAATTATTATTATTATTATTATTATTTTACAGGAAACGGTTTGACGCAATTAGATTTGAGTGCAAATAGTTTGAGCGTCGTACCATCGGTCGCCCTGAAAAACCTCCATCATCTTTTGATACTTAATTTAAATCATAATAAGATTTCGATTTTGCATAATAAAGCATTCGAGGGTATGGATACGTTGGAAATATTAACCATTTACGAAAATAAAATAAGCGTTATTGAAGCAGACGCTTTTAAGGGCCTGGAAAAGTAAGTTTCACGTCATCATCATCATCATCCCAAAATAAAATAAATAATTTTCACCCTTTTTTTTTATATAGAAAATTAAAACGATTGAACCTTGGTAAAAATGAATTGACGTCAGTTCCGACACACGCACTTTTTTACATGGACAATTTAAAAAAGTTGGAAATGCAAGAGAATAAAATATCGGAAATAACGGAAGAAGATTTCAAGGGTAAAACACAATTTTCATTATTATTACGTCATCGTTTTTTTTTTTTTCTCATCAATCCCTTTCTCTCTCTCTCTCTCTCTCTCTCTCTCTCTCTCTCTCTCTCTCTCTCTCTCTCTCTCTCTCTCTCTCTCTCTTTAAATTATGGGGTTGGAAAAATATATAAATTTTTTATTTCAGGTTTACATTCATTGGACGGTTTAGTTTTGGCACATAACAGGATCAAAGAAGTCGGACCGCACGTTTTTCGTCATTTGGGATTGTTAACATCATTGGAACTCGAAGGAAATTCGATTTTTTACTTAGATCCAAATGCTTTCGTCGGCCTTGAAGGTATATTTTTGGCATAAACCTTTTCTAATTAATTTTCACACAAAAAGGTTCAAAGTCCAAAAAAAAAGGTCCGAAAAAATTGAGCATAATTTACTTTAACAATACAAAAACAAATTTTTCTTTTTTTTTTTTTATGTTTTTCCTCAACCTTTAATTACCTCGACTTGTTTCCACCCACCCCCCCCACACACAACCCGTCACGGATAATGATTTTCCTCATTAATTTAATGCTTTTCCAAAATAGCTTTTTAGAAAATTGATCAGTTACGAGTTTTACAAATCAAAAAAAATTAAAGTTTAATCCGAAAAGTTTCTATCATTACGTCATTTTTATTTGTTTCGTCCTTTGAACTTCAATTAGGTTAATAAAAAAACAATATAAAACGATAGATAGACTTTGTAAAAAAAAAAAAAAAATGGCTGAAATGAAAATACGTTAAAATTTCCACCACTTCTATACTCATTCTAAAAAAAATTAATCTTTTTTTTTTTTCAACAGAAAATTTACAATATTTAAGACTCGGAGATAATAATTTGCACACAATACCGAGCGACACATTGAAAAGATTACACAGATTAAGAACATTGGATTTGAGAGCGAATAATATAAGTTACATAGGAGAAGATGCATTTTTGGGTTACGGTGACGCCATTACTTTTTTAAATCTTCAAAAGAACATGTGAGTTTTTTTACGATCCAACCACCCTCCCCCCCTCCCCCTACCTCGAGTGACACGCATCGCAAATACACCCAATTTTTTGCTTTTACAGGATCAAAACGTTACCAGCGATGGCTTTCGATAATCTCAATTCATTGGAAACGTTAAATCTTCAAAATAACAAATTAACACACATACCGGAAGAAATAATGGAACCGATTGTCGACACTCTGAGAGTTGTTGATATAATGGGTGAGCACACTAAAATAATTTCTTTCGAAAAAAAAAAAAAAAAGAAAATTTTCCGATTAATTCCTTTTTTTTTATCAAAATAGATAATCCGCTTATTTGCGATTGCGAATTGAGTTGGTATAAGGAATGGTTGAAAAATTTAAGAGGAAAAGATGACGAAACGATGCATAAGAAAAGAATTGTTTGCACAATGGTGTCCGAACATAGGGAATACAACGTGCAGAATTTACCCGTTGATAAAATGAATTGCGTGGGTAAAAATTTGGGTCAAACCTACAGCAATTCCGTTTCCCAGAAGAAAAAAATTAATTTTTACATTTTAATTTTTTTCGCTTTATTAACAACAACAACAGCAACGGCTTCGTTTGAAAAATACTTTTTTTAAAAAAAACTATTATTTAAATAACCCTTAGCTATTAATCATAAACATACATCTCTACATTTATAAAAAAAAAAAAAAAAAAAAAAATTTTTTTCATTATATTTTGTTTATCATATATAAAGGGGGAGAATAAAATATAATTGAAAAAAATTTTTTTTTCTCATCATTCATTTCATTTTCTTCTTCTAATAAGAAATCAAATCAACAAATAATAATAATAATAATAATAATAATAATAATAATAATAATAATAATAATAATGATAATGATAAACATATCGATACTAAATAAAACATATCAAATTTTTATATATATATATATATATACATAAATACATATCTGATATTTCTAAATAATTCATCGTAATTTTACACTATTATTATTATTATTATTATTTTAAATTTTTTTGTTTAAGTACGTCATAAAAGAGAGAGAGAGAGAGAGAGAGAGAAAGAAGAAAAAAACACGAAATAAAAGACCAAAAAGAAAATTCTTTTTTTTTTTTTTTCTACTTTTTATTAAAAATTTCATCTATTTTTTCTATACGTATTTTATATTGATAAAAACAAAATGGCTTTAATCGAAAATAATAATAATAATAATAATTCAATTTCGGATTATCGGTAGTTGGAAAAATAAAATAAAAATTTTTTATAAGAAAAATAAAAATTAAGGGACTTCAATCGTAAAACATATCAATTAATATATAAGTCAATGAAAATTTCATGTTTTTAAATCGAACCGTTGTAATAATAATAATAATAATGATAATAACAACCGTAAACAAACGACAAACCTAACGTTACTACTAACAAACCTAACGACACGCTATACAACCATTTTAACAAACGATTTAGTTGTGCCTCGAACCATAAGCAAAAAAAAAAAAAAAAACAATTAGTTATTATTATTACTAATCCTTATCCTCGTCAATATATTCGTGTCGAAAACATGAAAAATATGAAGACTCAAAAAAAATTTTTTTTTTTTTTTTTTATTTAATTAGATGGATTTTAAATATATATTTATATAGTTAATATTATTATTATTATTATTATTATTATTATATATATATAATTTTTAGATTTAGAAAAAAATATTTTAAAAAAATAAATAAAAAAATATAAAAAAAAAAAAAAAAAGTTTAAAGTGTTTGCGACACATTCGTCGAATTCTGAGCTTGATGTTGTTGGTATTAAACGCGTTTTATTAATACGAAAAAAAATTTTTAATTTATTATTATTATTATTATTATTATTATTATTATTATTATTATTATTATTATTATTATTATTATTATTATTATTATCATTATTTTTTAACGGTTAAATTTTGTATTTCGTTAAAAAACAAAAAAACACCAAAATTAATTAATTAATTAATTAATTAATTAATTAATTAGCTACGTCGTGACGTAGTGAAATTTAAACAATTTTTTTTTTTTGATTTGGCTCTATTTACAACTTTGTTATAATAATAATGATAATAATAATTGTTATTAATAATTATCATTATTATTATCATTTCGTTTTATTAAACTTTTTGTTTTTAATAAATTAATTAAATTAATTATATTTATCGAACCGAATCATTTTAAATAAATTATTTATGGATTCGGTTCAAACCTTGTCGAATACATATCATTACTCGATGTGATTTTTAAAAATTATTAATAATAATAATAATAATAATGATAATGATAATGATAATGATAAATGTTTTTTTTCGAATTGTATATTTTAATATTTAATATGAAATATTAACTAATAGTTAATTACGTCGTTTAAAAAAAAAAAAAAATTTAAGAAAAATAATTTGTTTTTGGGTTTTTTTCTACTAAAATCGCTTTTAATCAAAAAAAAAATATATATTTATAATAATAATAATAATAATAATAATGATTGAAAATTTATTCGAATGATTATTTTAAAAAGAAAAATATAAAATATTTAAAAAAAAATTTTTTTCCCCGTTTTTGATTGCTGTAAATGTCTATTTTAAATGTATATTTTTGTGTTACGACTTATATCTTTTACTTTTTAAAAATAAAATATTTATATATATATATATAAATATATATGTATGATTAAGAGACCACTATTTAATTATAATAAATAATAATTCATTCAATTTGATGTATTCTATATTGAAAAGTTTAATAAAATATTTTAAAGAAAATTTCTAGTGTCGATTAAATATTTGTAATTTCCCCCACCCCCCCCCCCGGTAGCAGGGAGAATGTGGAACAAAACCACCACCCAACTAAAACTTCTCCTGGATGTGTTTCACAATGCCCTTCCCGGAGGAAGAGGCGTTTATGAGAGTACAACCTCCATTTCAACCTCCTCCTGAGAATCATCAAATTCACACTCGCGAGAATGGGAATACCTGAGGAAGATCTTAGTACTTCCCCTTTTGAACCTTCGAGCGACAGTCCCGAATTGTCATTATCGTTCCTGTCTCTTCCGCAAAATCTGCAAGTTTCCCGGAGAGAGAGAGAGAGATCCGGGATCGCGAATCCCGTTGATCGTTCATCTATCTTTCTTTCACATTGCATTTTCCCAATTTGGGTCAAGTTCCCAGTACTCACGACTCTCAACTCGGTGACTTTTGGGCCGATTTTTCCCCTATTTGGATTCAACCTGGCAACCTCAAACTCCCCCAAGGCATCCAAATTGAAGATTTACGCCTAGTCAACCTGGAAAGTCTATTTCCAGAACCCCCGCCCCTAAAACAACCTCTACATCATCCAAATAATTGGATAATATGAGTCCACCACCACCACCACTCCCGACTCATTATAATCTACACTCATTTACTAAATTATTATTATTATTATTATTAAGTAGTAGTATTTTAATACACAATTCGTATAAAATTGTATATGTAAATTACAATAGCAAACATTCCCTTTTTTTTTTTTTTTTTTTTAATTAAAAATTTTATTTTGTTTTTTTCCCCTCCCCCCCACTATTTTCACGCAAGAAATTATTATTATTATTATTATTATTACAAGTATTAATAATAATAGAAGCGAAACGAGATAAAAAAATAAAATAAATAATACAAACGAGTGATAAGAATAAATACAAACAATTTTTTTTAATTAATAAAAATTATTTAATATATTCGACAACGTATGCAAGCAATTCTTTCTCTCACAATATTTTTCGTATTCGTAGGGGCAAAATTTTCAATTTTCTAATTATTATTATTATCGTCGTCGTCGTCGTTGTTAAACGAAATGAATTTGAAATTTAGAATTTATTTTTTATTTTATATAAATTGTGTATTTAAATTAAAATCGGTATCAACTTTAAATTCGTTTAAAGAAAACAAAGGGTCCTGCATTTACAAATATGAAAATTCGTGTAAGATTTATTGTAGTGAAATTAATATGAATAACACGAAGGATGAATTGAAATTTGAAAAAATAATAAAAAATATAAAACGGGTAACGTCGTAACGATCAATTTAAATTTTCTTTTTGTTTTTATCGTTTAAAGTTTAAAAAAATTTTTTTAAATTATTACAGGGCGATAAACGTTGCGATTTGATATTAAATGACTGCGCCATTGATAAAAATGATAATTGGTTACATTCGTTATTATCCGACAATAAAATAAAAATTAAAAAATTCAAAATTGAAAATTCTCCCACAGATTTGGGGGGAATAAATTTAAACCGATTGAAAAATTTAAAAGAATTGAATTTATTCAACACGACCACGTGTTCGCTTAAAAGAAAATTATTTTCGGACGTGCCGAATTTGAAAAAGCTCGTGATACAAAATAACGTTCATTTAAAAATGGCGGAATATTCATTTTTGAAATATTCCCGGTTGAAAATATTAACAATAAACGGCATACATTTAAATCCAAATGAAAGTAATACATTTTTTAAAAATCTAACCGGTGACGTCATCATTTCTTACATATCCGTATTAGATTGGTCTTATAATAATTTTGGTAATTTAAAAAAAGAAATTTTAACGAATTTTCGTCGCGTCGACACGTTAGCATTGAAACATTCGAATATAAAAAATGTCGACGATAATATTTTTCACCATTTAAATATTAAATATTTACATTTGGAGGGTAATTACATAAAAAATTTACCGCAAAAAATATTCCAACCATTATTTATGAATAAATACACGGAAATATATTTATACGAAAATCAAATTACGAGAGATTGTCATTTGAAAATCTACGAATTTATGATAAAATATAAAAATGATAATGATGATAATATTACTTGCGAAAAATCAGAAAATTTTCAACGCGCAATAAAAAAAAAATCAAATAAATTTTCTACTTTTTGCCATATCGATGAATTTATAAACGATGATGATGATGATGATGATGATAAGGAAAAATTTCAAATAGAAATTATTCGGCCGGATTTAATGGCGGTTAATTTGAAAGAACCGTTAAAAAATTTCACGCTAAGGTTGATGGAATTTTCAAATTTTCCTCGGGAGAAAAATTCACATTGCATTTGGAAAAATAAAAAAAAAATTTTTTTCAAAATCGCGTCAAACGTTCGTTATGTTTTGTGTTTAAATTTTCGAGAAAATCCATCATCGTCATATACAAATTATTGTTTACCTTTTACAAACAGAGCACTGAAGAAAAAAACAAAAACAAAAACAAACAAACAATCATTTCAACTCTTAATTTTATCGATAACGTTTTCCATTTTGTTTATTATAACATTAGGAGCATTACTCATGGTTATTTTTTCTAAAAATAAACCAAAAGGAATTATAAGTAAAAATGAAGAAAGAATGAAACTCGAAAACCTATCGGATAAATCACGAGAGTTATCATTAAATAAAAATTGCAGTGATAAACCGTTATCAATGAATTTAAGATTTTCATATCCAAAACATTCCAAATCGTCTGAAAGTTTTGAAACTCTTAGCACGGTCAGTTACGTATCTGCCAATCAACCAAATCAAATGGAATTATTAAATTATAAATTGAATAAACTAAGAGAAACATTTCAAAAAACTAATGGAATAATATCAACATCGTATTTGCCTGTGATAATATCATCACCAACGACAAAATCACCATTAAATGTGGATTTACTTCTCGAATATGAATGGTATACAATAATCAAATCAACATCAACTGTTATTAAAATAATTAAATAAAAAATTTGTTTTTGAAACTTACCACTGCCAAACACTCCTAACTGACCGATTGTAAATGATGCAGAATTTTTGTTTTGCCTGTGAAAAAAAAAAAAAAAAAAAATGAATTAATAAATATTTATAATAAAATATTATGTGTAATCATGTTAATTGTTTTTTTTTTTCTGTTTACCTTTGAAAACCAAATTTAAGTTTTTCACCAAAAAAATATCCTCTATTATATTTATTAACATTATCAGTAAAATTTTTTTTTTTTTTTTTCAAATCACTCGTTACATCAACAAATGATGTATTAAAAATTTGTTTCACTAAAATACTTTTATTATAATTATTATTATTATTCGATTTTTTATCATTTATGTCATGTAAACTGGGAGACACATTGGCAAATGTGTATTCGAGTACAACATTAACAATATTACTTCCATCAATAAAGAAAACTTGTGTGATTTCTACTAATATGTTGCGACAAGTATTATTAAACCAAAATGGTGAACTGATATCTTTCGAGCAGGGATAACTAGAGTTCGAATAAAATGTGTAAACTTGTTGTTGGCCATATTTTAAAACATTGCGATGAAGTTGGGTACATTTAATTTTATTTTCAATATCACTTCCTTCTAAAAAGTTTATATTTTTTAAAATAAATGGATAATTGAAATTTGTTAAATTAGAAATTTTTTTAAAAAAATATGGTAGAACACTACGACAGTTTTTTTCTGTTATTTCTGTCAGGCAAGAAGTATAAGAATTTATTTTGAATTTTACTGGACTCATTTTACATGCATGATTAGAGTTTTTTATTGAAACTTTACTGAACAGAGGACTTATTACTGGATATGTTAATAAATTGTCTCGAGGAAGATAAGTCATTACATTTTTCCCATATTTGTAGTAATCGGTTGATTTTAGTTTTTCATGAATTTTATTGTTTTTTTCATAATATCGATAAGAATTCGTCTTTAGTCTAACTGCTTTATTAAAATGTGAAAAACTTTCCATTTTAGTTGATATTTTAAAAAATTTTCCAAGATATATGGGATTTTTATAAATGTAACACAAAGTGGAAAACCAAATAGGTTGGGTTTTTGAATGACAATCACAGTCAAAATTTGACAATATATGATTACAGGGATTTGATGTATCGCGACAGTTAAAACTTAATTTATGAAATTCATTACAATCGACATCATCACAACAATTAACATCACAAAAGTTTTCTGTCAAGTCACAAGAACTGTTTGAAATTTCTTTCAGTAACGGATAATTTTTTTCCCATTCGGTATTATAACTAAAATAACTGATAGATTTACGATTGATTTCAAATAAATCGCCACAAAAAACACCAATTGCAAAACTACACCAATAAAAAATTAATATAAAAAAATAATTCATCATGAAAGTAACTTAACAAAAACTAAATTAGTCGCAAAGAAACAAATGGTTGCTTAGCAACAAACACTTTTGGCGCCACTCGCAAAGGAAAACCTTTGAAACCGTTAAACCGTTTTATTTCATAGATAAATTAACAAATTTTTTTGCGAATGGTGTCGTTTCAAAAAGAATTTTTTTAATAAATCAATCGAAAAAGAAAATGTAAGTATTTAAATTTTATAATTTCATATATATATTTTCTTTACATTTAATATTAACATAATTATTAATTTGCACTATTCCGTGGAAGTTAATTCTTCAGTACCTATTTTTTCCTGGGGCTAAACAAAAAAAGGAAGCAAAAATTTTACTTTGAAATTAGTTTTTTTTTTCCATTTAATAATAATTATTTAAACGTACCATAATGTAAACGTGAGACAATAAATTTCTATCAATCATTGTATTTAATTGCTCGGCAAACTCGTCAGCCATACTTCTAAAAACTAACCTCGGTAAAGCTACTAAACCGGGAAACAAAGGATATAAATTATATTTTAATTTTTTGTTAGAACCAGGAAGCATACGAATTAAAACCTACGAATTAAAAAAACAAAATGTAAAATACGAACTAATTTTAAATTTTACACGATATTAAACCTCCTGCACAATCACCTGTTTTTGACCGGCAAACATGAAAGCATCGCTAGACTCCATTAATAAATCTAATTGTAATAAATTATTTGAATAATTAAATAAATTATATTCGAGTTCCATGGGTTTTCTCACCCATCCGTGAGCGGGTAAATTCATTTCAACCCCTAAAACTGTCGGATCGCATCTGAAACGTACGAGTTGAGTATTTTGAAAAAACCCAGGAGAAAAAACACCCCAAGAAATCAAAGAACTTGACCTCTTACCTAACGGTTGGCATAGTGACGCTACTACTCGTTATCTCTTTGCTGCTTGTTCTCGACCATTTCACCGTGTAAATTCCCAATGCTAAAGGTTTATCACTGGATTCATCGATCGTTAATGGAAACATATCAGTCCCACCTTCTCCCTGATTTAAAACGGCTCCAGCCAAATGGGAAGTGACATCTTGGTCACAAAATTTAACGTAGTTGCACTGAAATCCAAATGAGTTCAATTGACGACATAAATAAGAAGAGGTTACATCAAAAGTAAAAACATTTCGAACTTACGGGTTTTATTGAAGATTCGTGAATGTTTATGGGCCAGGGTGACAAAATACGAATGGTCACATTTAGTATGAAAGGATTTCTGGAAAAGCATTTTTCAATTTTTTCAAATTTCATCGAAAGTATTTCGGCGGAAACTTCAAAGGGTTGAATTATGGGAACTTTGACAAGAGTTTCCACAAATGATTTCGTGGGAGCGATGCCATCTTTCATCAGATTGTAAGACAACTGAAAAAACAAAAAAATTTTTTTACAACAGCCTGTAAATTATTATGATAAATAACTAAAGACGAAGGAATACCTTGGTTATCAGGTTTCGTTCTTCGATACGGTGTCCTCGCAGGTAAACAACGATCACTTTAGTTTCTTTTTGAGGTATTTCTCCCAGTGTTACATTCACGAACGATAGGGGAACGCAATTTTTAACGTCTAAACAAAGTTGAGCTGAAATTCAAAGAGAGAATAATTTTTAATTATTACCACTCGTTACCGATATCACTCGACGAGTTATGAAAACTGAAAATTTAAAAACTCCGCTTTACTTGATTGTTCGATCGTTAAATCTTCAGGACCACTTTGATGGTATTTGACTTCCAACACGGAGTCGGAAACGGAAACGTCTTCATCGTTTGTTATGTGAAATTCTATGGGATACCATTCACTCAACAGTGCCGGAGAATTATGTTTGACTTGAACTTTGACCTTTGATTCGCTCGCAACAATTTTTGCGTTGGTTAAATTTTCTATTTTATCAAACGTCGGATCGCTTAATGTTAACCTGATTTAAAAATTAATAAAATATTTTCATTTTTTTTTTTTTTTTTTTTTAAATACAAAAAGAAGAATCGCGCGTGCATTTCTTACCACCTGAAATATTGAAATTCGTCTGTTGTTTTTTCTGCACAAGATTCCGTCGTTCCGTTTGCAATGTTAAATTTCAATTTGGCTTCGCGCTCTTTAAAAAAACCCAAAGTCAGCAAAACCGAATTGATTTGTATCATTTTACCAATGTCGGCTGCTGAATCGCATTTGAAATTATATAATGAATTTTTAACGCGTTCCGGTTCGAATTTTAAATTTAGTTTGTCCGAGGACACGGAATATTCCGCTACGCCGTTGGACTTGTTGATAAACACGGACATGTTGGAAAATTCGATGAAATCCGGACAGTGAGACCTGAAAATCGTTAAATTAACATTTAGATTTTGTCAAATTCAAATCCAGGCACGTGTAAAAAAAATACTTATTTCAACCTGACGTATATTTCGACAGTTATATCTTCGTCTACTGTGAAAATAGGTTTTAAAAATCGAGCTTTCACTTCGATGCAGGACTTTGAACTCATTTCAATCGTGATTGGATTAGATTTTCTGGATGCTTCCCACGATTTTTGAGCTTCTGGAATTATTTGCGACGGGACTTCAGGCTCTGGTTCCGGGCATTTTAACTGCAAATAGTGGAATTTTCTTTAAAAAAAAAAAAAAAAAAAAAACTCGAATTAAAAAAAAAATAAATTTTCAAACTTACATTTAACACGGCCATGAGATTATTAAAAATTTTTAATTTTCTCTCCGTGTCGAATTTGGCTAACGGACCCAAGGCTTCGAGAGAAAAATGTATGTAGTCTTGTACGTTAGCAGCAACGCAGGCACACGACAAAGCTCTCGTTAGCAATTTAGATTGCAAAAGCCACCATTTTTCTTCTTTGTAATCCCATAAAATATGAGAGAACAATCTGCAAAAATATGGATGCATATAAACCCTTTGTAAAGAAGGAAAAGTCGTGGAAAATTTCAATAACGTACGTGAGAGCTTGACCGTATTCTTTTGAAGAAAAATACTCGTCGGCCATTTGTACGACTAATTGAAGACGCATCCTTGGACATTTATAAGTTTTAAATTGACAAATTGCTTTTCCCAATAAGTGTATAATTATGGTCTGCAATCAAAAAAAAAAAAAAAATTTATTTTTTCAAATTAATTAATTAATTAATAAAAAATAATATTTTATTATATAAATGTTTATCTTACCGAATGATTAACTAAATTTTCCCTATATTTAAGAGCAGTTATGCCTTCCAATTCCAAAGCAGTGTTTATTGGTTCTGCACTTAATTTTCCAGGCCTCCAAGGTCGTTGACCATAAAATTCTAACGAATTTAATCCCATTAACGGATCAGATTGTGGATATGTAGTTACATCTTTGCACAATTCTAAACAATATTTTTTTCTTTCAATCGCATTTTGAGCTGCTAATTCAAAATAAAATCCGGGATGCTGAGTTTGAACCGCAGTGAGTCCCTAAACAAATAAAAGAATTAATTTGAGTTTTTTTACGTTATATTTTATATAAATTTATTTCACGGCAGCTCACATCTTTAACAGCTTCATTGAAAATATCTCCGAATGCTGAATATTGTTTCGAAAGCCAATTTAAATGTTCAAAATATAATTCTTTCGATCCTTTTTTGTCTTTGTAAAATTCAATATGCAATTTAAAATTTCGTATAGCATCACGTGGTTCGTTTAACTTAAACATTAAATAACACAATTTGTAAGTAATAAATCCGGCAATGAGCTTTACTTCTACTATATTGCTCTCTGATAACCTAGTCTCTTTAATAAATGTGTAAGCCTTATCGTAATACCTACAAATAAATAAATAAAACGTTATTTTCAAGCGAGTAATACACATTTAAAAAAATCGAAATGAAATTTATAACTTTTAAAAATACTTTTTAGCATTGTGATTATCTTGTTTCAACTCTGAAAGAAATCCTAATTTAAATTGATGCCTAACAAAAAGATATTGTTGATTTGTTTTGTTTAACTGGTCTTTATGCTGCTTTATTAATTTGATTTCTTCATGATAATAACTTTGAGCAAGGTCGCAAAGTACACTCTCCAACCTGAAGTATGATATAAAAATAATTTAGTGTGGTTATCTGGCATTTTAAATTGTTAAATTATATTAAATGAAAAAATTTGTACCTTGAAATATACCCTTGTAAGTGATCCCCATGGGGTAACAAATATAACTGATGAGGCTCTATGTCACAAGTAGCACATAGCGATTTGGCTCTTTCTGATGCTTTCGTATCGTCAGGAAGAGGAGCGGTTTTTTGTAGCAGAATAACTACTATTTTTGTAGCATGACTGCCAAGAGATGCTCTAAAACAAAAAAAATTTGCTGATGAAAATTCTATTTATTAAATGACTTATGAATAAACTTAAAAAAACCTTAAACTTTGAAGTTGAGAAACGCAATCTAATTTCAACTGTTCTACATTTGCATCATCCCAATCGAGATCAAACATTAATGCAATGACAGATGGAATTTCCAGCAAATGTTTTTTCATCCAATTCCTTTTGAGTAATCCCTTAGGAATATACCAATCATAAGTGGATCTCTAAAAATATTAGTAATTAATACTAAAAAATTATAACATTTTTTTTTTTTTACTATGGATAAATAATTACCTTTGGTTTAACAGGTGGAAAGCAGTGAGATGTACTAAATAATTTAAAATTAACTGAAAATCGTTCGTGACTTGTTCTAAACACATCCCAAATGTTTTTATGAAGAGGATTACTTTGTATATCCAGACCACATAAACCTATAAGAGCTGAGGGTTTACTACAAAGTTCAGGTGGAAAGTCAAGTGCATCACTAACAGCCATTTTTAAAAAATAATAATGTAAATTTTAAATTAAATAATTTTTAACTGAACATTTTGATAAATATTGCACTATTTTCTTTTTTTTTTCCATTACACTAGTAAATATAAAAAAAAAAAAAAAAAAACTTTTTTTCAAGATTATATTTACATTTTATATGAAGAAATTACCTACTTTTAGTCGTGGCAGTAGAATAAGTAATACGTGGTTCAAGTTTCGACCGTTACGTTTTGATTTAAAAGTACAATTTATTACATAGCGCCAATAAATATGACAGAGGTGACAAGTGAGAATTTTTGGAAAATTCTTCCTCAAATAGAAGAAGAATTAAAATCATGTTCTTTTATATCAATCGATTGCGAATTTAGCGGTTTATTTACTCAACGCAATTGGTAATTTCTTTATCCAATTCTCCTTATTTTTTGTCAAATTATATGTTTTTTAAAAAATTTTTAATTTCATTCCAGCCTTTTGGATTCTCCCAAAGAGAGATACATGAAATTGAGAAGTGCCGTGCAAGATATTTCCATTATTCAAATGGGAATTACTTTATTTAAATTTGATAATTTTAACGATCAATTCCATTCATCTTCATATAGTTTTTATCTTATGCCTACAGGAATATTTAACACCAATACAAAATTGACATGTCAAATTGAAAGTTTGAAATTTTTGTGCAAATATAATTTTGATTTTAATAAAGCCATTTATAAAGGTATCAATTACATAAGTGAAAAAAATGAAAATGAACTTAAAAAATTTTTTAATCAAGATAAAATAACAATAGAGAGTTTATATTTCTCTGATTGCATTAAAGAAATTCACTCGAAAATAGATAAATGGCGTTTAAACACTAAGGAAAAAAGCGATATGATAATTAAAATTTCTGAATTACCATGTAAAAGTTTAAGATATTTAATTCTATTAGAGATTAGTCAAAGATTTTCTAATTTGCAACCTACTCTAACTGATGATGATGCAATTGTAATAAAAAAAATTGAAATGAAACGAAAAGAAATGAATATCGAAGACAAATTTTTTTTACAAAAAAAATTATTTCAAGATATTATAGGCTTTAGTAAAATAATAAAAGAAATGAGGAATGTTAAAAAGCCTATAATAGCACATAATTGTATCTTAGATATAATGACAATTTATCAACAATTTATAAAACCATTGCCATCAAATTACAAACAATTTAAAAATGATATAAAAAAATTATTTCCAATTATTTATGATACAAAATTTCTTACTCGTGAATTAAATAATTTAATAAATAATGAAATACCATCGAAATCTCTATCAGATGTTTATTTGTATTTTAAAAATGGAAATGTTGTACCAAAAATATTATACATGCCAAAAATAATTATGAATACAATATGTGACAAGTTTCATGATGCAGGATTTGATTCGTATTGTGCTGCTCACTGCTTTATCAACATATCATATTTATTTTCAATTTGGGATGAAGAAGTTAAATCATTAAAATATTCCAGTATGCCAATCAGTGTTACAAGATTGTTCAGCTCTGTTGAACCCATGAAAAATCACATAAATCTATCGAGAGGTCAAGTAAATGCTTTTGTACTCGATGGTACAGAATCAAAAAATTTATCACATACTTTACTTTGTTTCGAATCAAAATTTAATGAATCCCTCGACACAACAAAGGTTTGTCAATATAAATACAATTTTCCACTTTACAAACATTCAATAATAATAATTAATTTTCAGGTACTGGCTGAAATGACGAACAGGTTCGGTGTACACGACATAATATCAACAAATGAACATAAAGGAATAATGATAGTGCCCATAAAACGTGTTAAACCCATAATCGATTATTTTAAAAACAATAAAAAATTCAAAGTACGAAAATATAATTATTTAAAAGATTCAATTTTCGGAAAAACATTATTTAATTGTGGATTAATATTATTATTATCTACCAGTTTACTTTATTTAATCGGTTTTAATAAAATAAAATAATAATAATAATGTCACAATCGACCTTCGAAATGTTTATTCATTAGCCATAGGGAAAAATATAATAATAATAATAATATTATTCTGCGCAAAAAAAAAAAATGAATATTAAATGAAGGTCGTGCAGAATTTTTTCTTTTTTTTTTGTTTTTGGGTTAATTACGATTATTATTATTATTATTATTACCCTTGGTAAACATATGAAATATTTTTTTTTATTTACTTTTGAAAAATAATTAACTAAAAATTATATAATTTTTTCAGGCTTATTATTATTATTATTAATATTATTCAACCTTTTTCTTCTTTTTTATTTAAATTCTCCTTAATTAAAACGAACAAACATAAAAAATAAATAAAAATTCGACCTTGCAAAGTATACAACCTACAAAAACAATTAATGTAGGCGATGAATTCATTCTTAGAATAAATAATGTTAAAAAAAAATCTCACAAACACACACAAACACAACCAACAACAACAACAACAACCACAACATAATTAATTTTGTTTTTCTTCGATATGATCATTTCAAATGATTTCAATACATAAAATTATCATTATCATTTTAAATGCATATTTATTTATTTTTTATTTAATAGAAAATATAATATTTTTAGTATGGGAGTGAGAGGGGGCGGGCGGGGGTTAAATACAAAATTTAACAAACGAATCATTATAAATACATACGTTTATATATATATATATATAAATATAAATATAAATAAAAATAAAATTAATGGATAAGTTAAACACAATCCGGAGGAGAGCCTTGAGTTATGAGTACCGTCGCAGCTTTGTCGACGTCACCGTCGCAAGCGACGAGTGCATCCCAACAATTCGACATGTTAGCAAAAATCCCTGAATTTTTAATTTTATTTTGTAATTTGGCTAATTTGATTGCACTGTAAACATCCCAATCCGTAGCGTTCAAAGCTTTCAAACAATTCTCTGACGTCATTTCCTTTCCGAGTACTTTCGACATCAATCTAACTTCGTCGCTATCCTGTCCTCTCGATTTCGATTGGGATTTCGTAGAGAATTCCAAAAGGTCTTCGCAAGACACGTGATCCTCGTTCCTTCTCATGCTCGTGTCATCGCATATTTTCCTTTCGGAATCGTCGCACGAGCTCGCGCTTGTTCTATTCGCATTGTTATTAGTACTACTGGTACTACTCCTACTACTGTTACCACCACCACCACCCGAGAAAAAAATTTCTTCGGATCCTTCGTCCGAATAGAGAGCCGCCGTCAAATTCAATTGTGCTATTTTTTGTTTCAAATGCAAATTGGGTTTGGATTTCCCGATTCCGTTCGATGTCGTTTGCAACAATTCCTCATCGTCTCGTCTTTTGAGTCGACGATTTAAAAAATTTTCCGAAAAATTTGACGTTTTTTTCCCGAGTCCAACGTTGGAAAATCCATTTTTGAAATCATCGTGGTGAGAATTGATCGTCGTCGGCGTCGACGGTTCTTCGTTCGTTTCCGGTTCGACGTTTATGTGATCCAAAGCATCCAATTCCGTCGCGATTTGCTGATCGAAACTATCGTCAATCTCGCTAGAAGAAGGAGAAAAATATTCGTTTGTTGTCATTTTAAAAAAAAAAAAAGACAAAAGACAAAATAAAATGGCACCTCTACTAACTGGCATTGTTTTACGGTTGTCGAATGATGCGAAGGATGAATGGGTGGTAAAACCGACGTGTGAGAAGAATTCATCAACAACGTGGTACCAGGCGGATGAAAAACGTCATCAACGATGTGTTTTTCAAACTTTTCATCACAATTAACTGGAGGAAAATTTTTGTGATTAAAAATTTTCATAAAAAAAACATAAAACCAGGACAAAAAAAAAAAGACAAAATGTACCTCCTCCTCCTTGACCAGGTATAATGAGCGGATGTTTTCTTTGGTGTCTCGGCTTGTTCGAAACGCTCGGTTTTGACCTGTCACGTGGCGGAAGAGGTATCGGATTTTCATCTTCGCCAAATTGACTGTGACTACTCGTCGAATCCTTTCGTAAGGACGACGTACAACTCGACGTTGAATCCTTTCTCCATCTTTCCTCCGTATTCGTTTGACTAGATTCTTCTGCGTTTGTCTCGGAGAAAGAATGCGTTGGTGTTGGAGTCGACGTCGTCGTCGTCGTCGTCGCGACAACGATCGGCGGAGATGATGCCGAAGGAACTTTAACACTTACCGATTTTTCCAATTTCGTTATTTTACCCTTTGGACGAACTATCGGAAACGCTCCCGTTCGAAGCATTCTCAATGGATTCGATTCCGAACAATCTGCGGGTGATATGTTGCCGCTGCCACCACCACCGCCGCCACCACCCCCCACGTTTTGATTACCCGTACATGACGACGATGGCGACGACGTAAAACTCGGAGTTCTCTGGTGAAAGGTAAAACTGCTGTTATTCGAACTGCTCCGAGTAAAATTATTTTGAATGGTCGCCGATGATGGAATAATAATTTGCGTTTCCATAACGGGTTGTTCGACCAAAGAACTGTAAACTTCTTTTGCTTCCGGACTTATCGTCGACTACAACCGCAAAAAAAAAAAACAAACGACTTTTTTAAATTCGCATTAAACAACCACGATGATGACGACGACAACAACATTATTAACAATCATAATAATGATAGAATAGTAATAAATTAATTTTATCGTCGTCAAATATGCGTCGAGAATAAATGACAAAAAAAAATGAATTATTATTATTATTATTATTAGTATTAGTATTATTATTATTATTATTTTATTTATTTATTAAAAAGCTTTTTTCGAATACAATACTCGTATATAAAGTTATTAAAAGTATATATATAAAATAATGATAACATGCAAAAAAGTTATAAAGCACGTACAACGTAATTTGTGACATACAACAAACAAACAAAAAAATTGATAACACGTAATGTTTACTCATCACCCTCTCCCCACCTCTCCCGACCCCTCCCCTTATCAACCCTCCCCCGAACGCCTCCCTCCCCACCCCTCCCGCCAATCGACGATTATTTAAATCATTATTTAAACGTTTCGAATGTAAATTTATAAATAAATTCACAAAAGCGAAAAAAAAAAATTTTTTTGGGACCCCAGGGAGGGAGAGGGAGGGGCGGGAATGGAGGGGAGGAAGGGAACCCATCATTTAAAAAGATAAAAATCAAAAAAAAAAAAAAAATTACTACGAACGCCGAAATTTATCCCAGCAATAATAAAATGAATTAATAAATAAATAAATAATAATAATAATAAAATTCATTCATGGAAATTTAAAAAAAAAAAAAAAAAAAAATTAATAACCTTATTTATTAAAATAAAAAGGAGAGAGAGAGAGAGAGAGAGAGAGAGAGAGATTGGGGGACCGTAAAAAAAAGAGGGGGGGGGAATAATACGGTCGGACGGTCGGTCGGTCGCGCCTTGATTTCCCTCCTCCTCCCTCCTCCCCCCTCCGATTAACTCGCGTATAAAAAAAAAAAAAAATGAAAGGACGCAAAATAAATGATAAATCATGGCGCGGGTTCCACAGATTCTTTATTATCATTATTATTATTATTATTTTCATTCGTAAATGCCCACACGCGTCGTAGGGAGTGGGAGGGGGGTTTCTACGTGTGATATCCGGTGGTACGGAAACAAAAGGAAACGAGGGACTCCCCGTCATCGCGATCGCAAAAAGGAAACATGAGTAAGGAAAATCGCGGCGGCGTAAATACCGTAATAAAAAAAATTCAGTCAAATTCTAGTGAGCAAATTATTTTACTACCCCCCCCCGGATCCCTTTTTCCCCTCACCGAAAACAAATTACGGGGAGGTAGGGAGAGAGGAAGCGAGGGAGAGGGGAGCCGTTTTAAAAAAAGAAACGCAAGAAATAATTTTTTTTTTTTTTTTTCTCTTTTGTTTCTCTCTAACACTCCCCCCCAATAACAAAAAAAAAAAAAAATTCTTATTTTTAGACAATTCATTTTCTCTCATTCTCTCTCTTTCTCTATCTTTCTATTCCCCCCCCTCCCCCCTATCTCTCTCTCTCTCTCTCTTTTCCTTTTTCAACTTTCGTAACAGACGATTCCTATCTCTTTTCTTTTCTTCCTTTTTTATTTATGGAAAAGTCAAAAAAAACTTTTCGTCTTTTCCGATTTTAATACCGTCCATTTTTTTTTCTCTTTCTAGAACTTTTCCACGACAATGATGATGATGATGATAATAATAATAATAATAATAATAAAAATCAAAGACCGAATACGTGAAATTTTTCCTTTTGTTTTTTGTTTAAACTTTGTTTAATTCAAATTTGCACGTTTTTGTTTGTTTTTACGTTTTTTTGTTTTCTTCTCACGTTCGCGTCGGACCCGTTCTCTCCCCGTTTGTTCAAAAACCCAAACAAAACGTTCGAATCATGACCGATTAGGAAACAAAAAAAAAATTTCGATTCGTTTTTTTTTTTTTTTCCTTCCATTCCATTCCATTCGTGCGTGTGTTTGTGACGACTTTTTTTTTTTTTTTTTTTTTACAAAAACAATTTTTTTCTTTTCTCTCTCTCTTTCCAATTAATAAAAATAAACGTTTGACGGTAAATAATGGACGAACGTGACAAATAAAAAAAAAAAAAAAAAAAAAATTCAACTTTGTTAACAAGAAATTCTCCTCTATATATGGACACGAATTTTTTTTTTTTTTTTTTTGAAATTTCTAACGACGAATTTTTTTTTTATTTCTCCAAAAACAAATTTTAAAAAACTGGAGAAATGAATAAAACATTTTCCAAAATGTTTGGAAACTTTTTTCGTCAACGTAAAACAAAAAACAAAATGGCGACGGTGAAATAATGGCAAATATTTTCGACCCGTTTCTCAATCAGTTTTACTACTTCCAAGTTTAGTTTAAAAAAAAAAGAAAGCTCCTCCCTGCTCCCCCCTCACACGTTAATGTTTCCCGCGGGAAAACATCACAAATTACAAAAATTTAATCGAAATCAATTGAAAAATGAAAAAAAAGTCGAAATCGATATCGAAACGATATCGAAAACTCATCGCGAATCGAGTCGCGGACTCGAATCGCGGGGGGCGGGAGCTTGGGGGGCGGGAGGTATTTCGATTTTCTTCTCCTTCTTTCAAAAGAATCAATCTTCAAATTCGAAAAGACATAATGATAATAATAATAATAATAATAATAATGATACCTTTCGATACGAAGAAAAGAAATAAAAAAAAAAAATTTTTTTTTTTTTTTTTTTTTTTAATGGCGGCGTTCGTTCGATAATCGATTGTTTTAAAAAAAAAAAAAAAAACAGTCGATACGGCGCCCATTTTTTTTTATTATCATCATCATCATCATTTTTTTCTCTTACTAATATTATTATTATTATTTTCGAGAGAGAGAGAGAGAGAGTTAGAAACAAACGTATCCGGAGCCAAAACGACGAAACGAATAATAATTGCGTAATTACGACGAGAGCAAAACTTTTGTTAGAGTTCAACCGACGATTCTATTACACGCGGTGTATCGTGAATTTATAAAAAAATATCCTTAACACGGCACTGAGTCCTCAATACGTCAAAAAATGGAAAAAGTCGAACATGTTCCTTTTTTAGAAGGTAATCCAACACCATTGAATCCCACAAAAAAAAAAATTACATGTGAATTGTTTATGTTGGATAAACATGTTTTTTTTTCTCTCTCTCTCTCTCTCTCTCTCTCTCTCTTTTGGCATTCTCTCGGGACAGAACACATTTTTTTTTTTTTTTGCCTTTTTTTGGGGAGACAATTTTTTTTTTCTCCTTTTCTTTTCCTTTCCTTACGTAAGAAGGGCGAACACGTGCACGGGCGTGTGTGTGTGATTGATTGATTGATTGATTGTTTTGTTTTGCAAGGCGAGTTTTTAACGATGGAGATATGCATTCATCGAAATACTAAAAAGAAAAAGGAAGCACGACGGATGGGGGGAGGGGGAAAGGGAAAAGAGGGGAGGGAGAAAGAGAAGGAAAATGGAATGGATCCGTTTACACCTGAGGAGCCGGACTCGGAGGACAATTCGAACATGATAAAAATTCACGATCCAATTCCAAATATTCTTCCCAATTGAGACTCGAACTGTTCGAAGACGTGAACGTTAAACTCGATGAATCTTTGGCCACGTCTCGCGGCCATTTTTCGTCGAATCCGGGAAACGGAAGGAAATTGTTCGATTTTGACAGATTGTTGAGAGAACGATTTTGAACGGATTCGGATTTCGCGGGTTTCAAATTCGAAACGAAAAATTTACTTTTGTCCGATGTGTTGCTGCTGTTGTTGTTGTTGTTTTTGGGTGACGTTATTATGGAATTCAAAAAAGAATTCTGCGGCGGAGGACTGTTGAGCAAAGTCTGGGGATTTTTCATTTGCGACATCGCGTGAGCGTTGCTGAAAGATCCTCCCCGTCTTTGCTTTCGCATTTTCAAACGATAACTCATTTGCTTGTCGGCTTCGGACAAATTACAAGAATCCGATGAATCCGAGGACGTCGAACTGAGATAGCGATCATTGTATGAGCGACGCCTGAGATGACCTTTTGACCCACATTTTCGCAGCGTGACGGGGTTCGACTGATGATGCGGGACCTCGGGAGTCGTCGAAGGCACTTCCTTCTCGGAGGATGGATTTATATTATTAGTCTTTTGCGTTTTGTCATTAGAATTGTTCGGAACGTCGTTCTTCTTTTTGTATTTGTAAGCTTTCCCGTAATAGTCTCCCAGCAGTGGGTTGGCATCGAGCATGGATTCCAGTCCGTTTGACGTTCTTTTGGATTCTTTCGAAAAACTTCTTTTGGATGACTGCAAACCGTTCAAACCGTTGTTGGACGACTCTTCGTATTTTTTAACGCCGCGGTTTTCCGTTTCGTATCGATTTCCCCTCCAGCTCGGAACTTGAGTCATGGCTTTCGTCAGTAAATCCCGAGATCTGGCAAAATAAAATTCCGCGCTTGCTTGATCCCAAGGTGGAAGTTTATTATAATGTGTTCTATCCAAATGATTTTTTCCCATTCCGTTCCGGTACGCGTCCTTGGAAGATTTCGGAACGTCCGAATCGAATAAAAACGAACGGAAATTTCCAAGGCTGCTCCTGTGGTAGGGCGAATTGAGAGGGGAAGAATCTCTGCTAAGCGAGGAATAACTGCTTCTCAATGAAACAGCATGTTGCCTAGGAGACGGTGGCGGGGTGGGTGTGGGCGAAAGAGTTTTTAAACGCAATTTATCACACAATGCCTATCAAAAATAATATTTTTTTTTTTTTTTTTATACGTACCATTCCCCGGGCAAGCGTGAAAGAAAACAATGAATCATTTAACTTATGTTTGTTAGTTTAGCGTTAAAAGCGAAATTAACAATTTATAGAAGCAGAAGAAAAATTAATTCGATTAAGTAGAAAGAAAAGAAAAGAAAAAAAAAAAGAAAAAAATTCAATTACCTGAATGTCTGGAATACAAGCTGTTTGTTCGGTGAAATTTTTCCTTTCCGGTTTCGGACTGTTGTGTTTTTGAACCGATGGAAATCTAAATGAAAATTTACGTTTCGACGGTGAGGCAGGCGTGTGAGGAGAGTCGGGGGGAGTGCATCCTAAAAAAATAAAATTAAAAAATTTTTCCAACAAAAAATTCACGAGATTATTGGGGGAGGGGGGGAGGGGGAGGAAAAAATCGTCAAATCTCACCATCGATATCGCTCATTGATTTGGCCGTGAGTTCGTTCGCCATTGCGATGGCTGAATCTAAAGTTTTCTCATCTGCTGCAGATATCGGTTTGACCGTCGCCTGTTTTCTACGTCTCGCAGCTTTTGCCGCCATTTCTTTCAATTCGTTTTTAACGTTGATGGCTTCGGCAAGGGGTGAGGCTGGGGGCGTGGAAAAAGACGAACCAAGGGGTAGGGAAAAAGGTGGAGGAAGTTTTTTCCTATCGGTCGGAAGCGGAGGAGTGGGTGAGCTGCCCAGAGACCGTAAAACAGATTCCATTTCATCCATTAAACTCGGTCCATTGCTCTTGAAAATAGGACTTCCACCCAGTTCGTCATCATCACTGATTTCATGATATTCGTGGTCTGTGCTGCTCGCTTTGTTTCCTTCCGCCCAAATACTTTCTACATTAAATACGTAAGCATATACGTTTTTGTTTTTTTTTTTTTTGGGGGGGGGGAGATACGATAAAAAAACCAATTAAAAAATTTTTGTTTTTATTGTGTGAAAACTTACCCGCCGGCGTTTTTAACAAGGGAGTGCAATCTGAAACATCAGAACAATTTCTATTTAATTCCGCGTGATTCGAATCGACCACGCTCGACGTCGAATCTTCGTGGGGTTTATAAGGGGTGACTATTTGTCGCGGAAGATTAGGATTTTTCCCACCCAAAAATGATAAATCTCCGAAATAAGCTCCGTCTAGGCCGACGTGTCCGGTGTGTTTGAAATCTCCCTGAGGACCCGATATCATATCCGGTCTAATTTTACGTTTTGACGAGTACATGTTTTTACCGTCACCCCGAGAGAACGCCAAGTTGTTCGAGGGAAGATTATTTCCAAGATATGTGACGGTGTGCGCCGGATTAAACCAACCCGTTCTGCCACTGTTCGTCACACCTTTCCAACTACTCGTTTGTAGTTGTTTATCCAAAACGGTTATAACATCACCCACGCGATACACTAATTGATCTCGTCTAGATTTTGTCGGATCTTCGACAAACTCTTGAACGGCCTGCACTTGCTCGGGTTTACACTACAAAAAAAATTTCACATTTTTCATTTTCTTGTATTCCTGTGCCGTGCGCGCGTAAGAAAATAATAATAATAATAATAATAAGGCTCATACCTCTGGCAACATAATTATAAGATCCGAAAATCTAGGCCTCGTGTTCGGGTCGTGTTGCCAGCATTTCATCATTATGTTATAATACTCTCTCGGACAGCACTCGGGTTGTTCCAATCTTTGAAAGTTGGGCTCATCGATAGCCTCTAGTATTTGATGACCCGTCAATGCCGCCCACGGTTGAAAGCCGTAGCTAAACATTTCCCACAAAGTGACGCCAAAAGCCCATACATCCGATGCGGAGGTAAATCTTAAGTAACTTATGCATTCTGGAGCACACCACGCAATAGGCAACTTGAGATTAACGTTAAAATTCGTTTGGTAATAGTCTTTTCCTACGCCCAAAGCTCTTGACAACCCAAAATCCGATATTTTAACTTTGTTCTTTGAAAATACTAAGATGTTTCGGGCGGCCAAATCTCTACGAATGATAAAATTCCATTGTCCGACAATTAAAATTACGAACGTTTAAGGGAAGTTTTGCTAAGTAAGGGTAGTAGGAATTCATTATTTTTCATCAGCAAACGTGAAATCGCGTGTGTGTGTGTGTGTGTGTGTGCGTGTGCGTGCGTGCGTGTGATTCTGTGTAGTTTTTGTACAAGAAATTTTTTAAACGCAAGTATCAAATTTAAAAAAGTAATTAAAAAATTATACGATTAAAAAAAATCGATAAATAAAAAAAAAAAAAAAAAAAAAATTTACGGCAAACTCATGCATGACTCAATGCTAATGATAATAATAATAATAATAATAATAATAATAAATTCGATATATATATATATATAAAATACAACAACACGTTTGAGTTCAACAACAAACACAAACACACAAAAAAAAAAAAAAAAACGTGGGAACCCAAATTTTACCTCCTCCCACCCACTCTACCGATTTGGATCGCGTTTCAACTCAACAAAATAAAAATAAAAATAAAAAATTTTATATAAATTAAAACTCCCACGAAATTTTTGAAAAAGAAAGAAAGAAAGAAAGAAAGAGAAGAAGAAAAAGACTCACAGCAACAACAACAACAACAACAACAAACACACTTGTCTTTAATTATAGGTCAATGCAATCTGGCAAGGTTTGTTGTGAGTACGGAAAGTTGTCGTTTCGAATTGTATATGCCTGAATAAAAAATTTAACACACATCTCTCTCTCTCTCTCTCTCTCTTTCTCTTTCGCTCCCCCCCCCCCCATCAAAACATCAATTAATTAATACGTATCATTTTTTCGAACAAATAAATAAATAAATAATCGTTACGATAATAGTAATAATAATAATAATAAGGAAACGACACACAACTTTAATCATCTCATTTGAATTCATAAAACAACCGAGTTGTGTGTTGTGTGTGTGTTGTTGTTGTTGTTGAAGTGGAAGACGGGAAACCGGAAGAATAATCGATTGATACTAATGCATCGATAATTAATCGAAATCGTTTTTTTTTTTTTTTTTCTATTTAGATCTATTAATAAAAATACATAAATAAATAAAAACAACAACAACAACAACAACGTGTGGTGCTTGCCTGCCTGCCTGCCTGCCTGAGACACGAGACAACAACATTTTCCATTTATTTCATTCATATCTCTCGTTTTAACTATTTTTTTTTTATTATTATTTTTCAAATCCACGACAGCGACGACAGCAACAACAACAACAACAACAACAACAGATATCACAAATGGGAATCATTATGGATACGATGACGAACACAATTGGCCACAACGTGAATCTTTTTTTTTAAAATGATAATCGCAATCATTTCATTCATTTTCATTTCCATTTTCTTTTCATTTTCTTATTCATTTTCTTTTTGTTGTTATTTTGCACATCCCACAAAAGAAATCGCGTAAAGAATAATTTTTTTTTTTTTGTGTTCAATGAAATAAAAAAATAAAATAAAACGTAAAACGATCTAAAAAAAAAAAATGATGAATGAAACGAGTTTAAAAGATTAGATTAGGTAAATTTTGCCTTCGACAATTTCTTTCTCTTTTTGGTTGTTTTTGTTTTGGTTGTTGTTGTTGTTTTTTTAGCATTCACTTTAGAAAAACAACTTTTAAATAATGACGCATGGCGTTTGTTTTTGTTTTTGTTCTTCTTTTTCAAATTTAGATAAAAATCAGACATTTAATAATAAGTTAAAAATAACCAAAAAAATTAAAAATAAAAAAAAACTTTTGGAGTAAAAAAAAAAAATTTTTGTCGTCGCTGAAAACAAACACAAACACAAACAAACATTTTTTTAAATAATAATAATAATAATAATAAAAGGTAAAAGAAAACTAACTCGCCTATATTTTTTGACAATTATAAATGCCAGAAATAAAATTTTATTTATTTATAAAAAAATAAAAAAAATAAATAAATAATTAAATTAACTAATCATTTTAAAATATCGTCGTCGTCGTCACGATGATGATGATGATTATTCAATCCCTATTTTTATTTTTCTCATGAATATTTTGCTAAATTTAGGCATAGTCGGGAGCAAAAAAATTTCCCCCCCCCTTTCCCTCCCCTCTCCCCTTCCCCCCGTTTAATTTCCAAACATTCATCCTCGTGTGCATTTAAAATTGATGTCCCAACCAACCACGAACCATTTTTTTTTCATCATCATCATCATCATCATCATCGTGTGTTGCATCTTCAAAACGTGATGGAAAAAACAAAAAAAAAAAAAAGGATTAAAATATTTTTTAATGGCGTTCACGTATACATATTAACATCATCATCATCATCATTATTATTAAATTAAATTTTTGCTTTTCTTTTTAAACAACCCCCCCTCGATAGTAGATTGAGCATCCCCAAAACTGCGTAACTAACAATTTTTAATAACAAGTCCCAAAATGTGTTTGTGTTTGTTTGTTTTGCAAATGATTATTGTTATTATTATTATTATTATTATTAAAAACAATTATTCAAGGTTTTTGATTTTGTCGCGTTTCGTTGATAAAAATGAATGCAAGTTTAATCACGTTTGATATGACGACCTTATAAGTAAAAGTACCTTATTCCATAGATAGAGAAAGAAAGAAAGAAATAAAAACAAAATCAAACCAAACGAAAAAATAAAAATCCATGTTTAAACATGATTCGAATATAAACGATTAGTAATAATAATAATAATGATATTAAATGAATGCGATTATCAACGATTTGTTAGAGAGAGAGAGAGAGAGAGAGAGAGAGAGAGAGAGAGAGAGAGAGAGAGAGAGAGAGAGAGAGAGAGAGATAGAAAAAAAAAAAAGGAGGGTGGTCTTACCTGTGTATTAAACGTTTTTGCTCCAAATACTGCATTCCATCACATACTTGTATGGCAAAATCGCACAATGATAATACTGGAAAATTACATCTCAATGAAGGTTCTTTGAGGCATTCAAGCAATGACCTCAGTGGAGCCAGTTCTGTGACGAGCATGAGAGAATTTGTATCTAAAACAACTCCGTAAAGTCTCACGATGTGTTCGTGATCGATTCCGTGCATTATGGCAGCTTCCTTGAGAAATTCTATCGGATTATTTTGCATTTTTTCTCTGCTCAAACATTTTATGGCGACTTGTATTCTGTCATCTTCGTCCGTCCACACGCCCTGTTGAACGGTACCGAATTCTCCTTGGCCCAACTCTTTGTTGACGACTATCGATTCGGCCGGTATTATATGCTTGTTGGGCACTTTAACGCTTGGCTTTTCTGCAACGTCGTTCGTTACCGATAATGACGAGTCATGATTTTCTTCTCGTCTCGATAATATTAACTAATTAATAAAACAATGAAGATTTCATTGATGGAATCCAATTATCAAATTATTATTATTATTATTTAATTAAAACTAATTAAATGAAATAATAATAATAATACACAATTGTTAAAATGATTAATTTTCTTTCTTTTTTTTTTTGGTCGCAAAACTTTTTAAATGATCGCAAAAGAATTTAATAATTAATTTATCTATCTATCTCTTTCTCTCTCTCTCTCTCTTTCTCTTTTTAAAAAAAGGCAAATAAAATCATTGTGAATACTTTTTAAAAAGTTTCTTTTCTTTTTTTTCTACAAATTTTCCTTTTAAAAGAAAAATAAGTTTCGAGTAAAATTAAATAATGTGTGTGTGTGTGTGTGTGTTGCTTAATTATTGTCAGTTGACCGAATTAAATAAAACAAAAATATGTTGCAAAATAAAAAACAAGAATTAACTAACATAAAACATCATTTTGTTTAAACATTTTAATTTTATCAACATAATGTAGGTAAATGAAATTAAATAAAATTAATGAATCGTTTAGCCTAATTTCATCACACACATAAATTTTTAAGGTTTCTTTTACCTACTTACAAAAAAAAAAAATAGAATTTTTAAACTAATCATAAGCAGAATTGTTTTTTATTGGCCTATATAAATGTGTAACAAGTTACAACATATCTTTTCGAATATGGAACAGTTATTAAAATTTATTATTAATCGAATAATTTTTTTTCTAAAATACAATCAGAGCAGATGATAAAAAAAAAAAAAAAAAAAGGAAATGAATAAAAAACACACAAACCTTTTTAAATTTAGATAAATAATTTTGAGGGAAATGCCTTTGAAAAAATTTTTTTAACCGTCTCATTTCTGGTTTGGACATGCCAATCGATACAAGATCATCTTCGGTGACATATTTTAATTGTGGAACATTTTGTACTTTGAGATCATTTTTAAATCCAGCATAATATTGCTGAAGTTCAGCTTCTATAAGGAACTCATATAATCCAGGTCCCTTTGAAGAAGCCATTTCTGATTTCAAACAAAAAAAAAAATTAATCAAGCAAAAAAAATTTAAATAAATATTTTTTATGAAGTACACACTAATTCACTTGTTATTTTTTTTTTTGAAAAAAATACCCACTGGGCATGGCCTATTTACATTATAATATCACAATCTTTTTAAAAAAAAAAATTTAACGACACTTTACGATAAAACGCGCACGAAAAATTACAATAAAAGATATGTATTTGTATTTCTGTCACTAATCGTTAATTACAAATTACCATTTTGCATTGTAATACCAAACAATCGTACGAAAATAATGCAAAAAATATATATATATATATCACAGAGATTTTGTTACGATAACTAAACAAAAAAACAGACACGATTGTAAAAAAAAATTTTTTTCCACGTTTAGTTTTAATTATTAAATCTTACCTACGATTTAAAAAAAAAAAAAAAAAAAAAAAAAACTACATAATTTTGAATTAAACTTATTTACTACCGTTCGCCGACACTAATGATCGGACATATTGGTTACAGACAATGTAAGAGAGGCCTTCTATAAAGAGAAATTTTCGTACTTCAAATTATCTAATTCCACGATCGTTTTGAAATAAATTTCCCTCAAAAATTATAATTATAATATTTTATTTGTATTTACTTACGTTTTTGTGATTTTTTTAAATCAAATCTGTTTTTTTTTTTTTTCATTTGACTCCAAACTGTAAAAAAAAAAAAAAAAAAAAAAAAAAACAAAAAACAAACGTTTAAAAAGTAATAAAAATAAATATATATATATATATATATATATATATATATATATATATATATATATATATATATATATATATATATATTTTTTTTGTTTAAAAATTACAAAATATAAAATATCTTAATATATTTTATAAAAATTTATATATATATAAAATTAAAAAAACATTTTTAAAAAAATTTATTTATATAAATTTAACAATTTTAAATAAATCAGTCTATTAAAAAATAAAGTATAAAATTATAAGTAAAAAAATAAATATAAAAAATTATCTAACAAATTTTTTTCTACAAATTTAATTATAAAAAAATTATTATTATTATAAATACCATAATTCGTACTTTAAACACATTATTATTACAATAAAAAAAACACTTTAAGAATTATTTAAAAAAAAGTACAATAATTTACCTATGAATTTGGTGAACAATAATTAATTAAAAAGCAAACAAAGAACATAATCAAAAAAAAAAAAAAAAATTGCAATGGCTATAATATTGATACCGTGCACGAACAACAACTTTTTGCAGACTTTATAAAATTTTAATCGTTAGACCAAATTTTTATTATCTTTCAATGATTAAAACAATTATTATAATTATTCAACGTGTAAAAAACATACATTACAAAAACTTGTAGAATTACATAAAATTTTACAACAATACTAGTAAAAAAAATAAATAAAATTTCCATTAAAATCCAAATTATTATATTTTACATAAATTTAAAACGATTTTAACGTTTTCCCTTATTTCTTATCGGTATCGGAACATTAAATAATAATTTATAAAAACAATCCCGAAGACGTGTAAAAGAATTAAATAATTTTTCAAATCTTATAGATAAATTTTCGACAAAGATTTCATTCAATATGGCGCTGCCTAACGATGCTGTACCTACAAAAAAAAACGTAAATCTCATTAAAACATTTCAATAATAACGTTTTTGAGGGATTAAAAATTTTCAAACCGTTTAAATTGGTATCGATTTTGGTATCGACGCTGAAATTATTATACGTGTACATGTAACAAGAAGGTACGGTCGATATCGTGTATATTTTATGAAAAGTTCCTTCGTTTATTTTAGCAAAATCTGAAAATGATAAATTAAAGTTTAAGAGAGAGAGAGAAAGAAAATTTTATGGGGATGAAAAATCGTCGAACCATTTTCACCTCCTTTTGCGAGAGTATTATTATTATTTCCTTGTTCCAGAGTTATGGTACCCTCTAAAACCGTAACCGTCACGTTCGTAAATTCCATCTCAATGTAATTTTCCAAATGCATACCTGGAAAATCGGCAACGAATAAAACTTCGCTGTGATTCGACCAACCGTGTACCTGTTTTTGAATTTCTTTTAAATTCACACGCCAAGAAGAATAATTCGTTAGTAATGGCATCAACCTGAAAAATAAATACTTTAATAAAATTTTTTTGATATAACGAGTGAGAGAGAGAGAGAGAGAGAGAGAGAGAGAGGGGGGGGGGAGAAAAAGGTTCACCAGGAAATTTTTTCAAATGGATTCCATTTTGCAGTCAATAAATTTTGATTTGGATTAAACATTCTCTGTTGAAATCTTCCATTTAAAGAACACCAGACATCGACGTAAATAGAAATATCATCGAATGATTTAACTCCGACATCTGCAATCATTTTTAAATTAATTAATTTAAATTTTATAAAATATTTTTAAGGGGTATCGGAAAATATCGTACCTTTCGAAGTGTACACGTTTGGATTATTCAAATTTTTTTTTAAACATTTAGCATATTGTATTAACATATCCCCGTGTTTGCTGTACCTGGTATTACTAACCCAAGCCTAAATTTAAAAGACAATCGCCATAACCGATGGTAAATGTTTTAAATATGTGAGAAAATTTTTAAATAACTCACTTCCGGATCTATGAAAAATTCTTTTTTCGATTCGTTGTCAACTACTTTGATTACGATAGCATCGGAATTCCAATTTTGAACCATCATGTCCCAAGAATATCCATACAAACCATTCGTCCAATTATTATAACCCTAAAAAACAGTTTTCAATTTGTGAAAATTAATTCGATGGTTGAAGATTTCAAAATGGCGTACTACCTGAGTCAGAAAATGAGAATATGGTAGAAAAAGTTGAACGGCTATGTAAATACTCATTGCAAAACAAACAAATTTTTGTTTGTTAGTTACTTTTTCCATGCAAATGGGATATTTTTCATGACTGAATTTTGTCTTTAACGATTTTCCAAACACTAGGAAAAAAAATTTTCAATATTACCGTCTTTGAAAAACAAATTAAGTTAAAAAACTTCATAAAATTTTTTTTTTTTTTACACTTGAGAAGTTGTTCTGGCCAGTCGTAGTTACAGAAAATCGGTGTTGTCACCAAGCAAACATATGGGAATTGTCCAATGTGAAACATACAACTATTTAATAAATGAAAAGCTGTAGAAAAAATAATGGCTATTGGTCTAGTTTTATCGAATAAAAAGAAAAATCCTACTGTTAAATCGAATGTGAATCCGAAAATATGTATTATCCAAAAATCTATTTGATCGTTATTAAGTACCAATCTAAAATTAAAAATAATTTTATTTAAAGTAAAATGTCGAATGTTATCAACTACTAAAAAACTAAACATACCTGAAAGGTTCGAAAACCCAATGAAGACCTAATTTTGTCATAGAATATCCTCCAATCCAATCAGGATCAAATTTCTTCATTCCTGCATAAAAGTAAAGAAGAAAAAATTGAAAACGGATAATGACATAATTCCATAATGGCACTGGCTCATTGTTGATCGAAGGATTCAAATAAGCATCTAAAGAACTTTAAAATTTTCGTTATGTCGTTATAAATATTTCAAAATTTTTTTTTATAAACAATTTAAAATACTTACAAAGAATAATGTGCGCAGGTAAATGTGAATAAAATTGAAATCAATCCATAGAGATAACTGTGATTATTCCAAAACGATTTATCCAACAAATAAATGTACCAGTAGGGAAAAATAAATAAAATACAAGACAGTTTAAATTTGTAACCTAGGCATATACCTAATGAACCTAAAATTGTAAAAGTAATCTTTCAGTTGAAATATCATAATAAAAATTGATGCGAATTTGAAGTTTTTCCCAACCTAGCCACATAATAAAGTACAATAAACCCATATATTCTAAAGGTAAAGGAGATAACCAGTCAAACAATGGAAAATGACATTTCATAGCATCACCAAATCGAAGATCAATATTACCAAGTCCTCTTTCATCTGGAATATCTATAACCATCATAAGACCTGAAAGTAAAAGTAATTTTAAATAAATAAATAAAAAAAAAACTAATGCAGTCATATTATTGAATAATTTTTAAATAATTAATAAAATTTACTCACCGAATAATGCTCTAACTATACCGAGACTAGATGAACATGTAGGACTGTATAATAAATTAATTAAATAATTCAAATTGTAAATTTTTAGTTTTTTTAAATCACAATAATCCTCTATCCTGTCAAATAATTTTTTTTTATCAATTATCTTTGTTTCAAATTCATTTTTTAATATCTTTTCTTTACTCCCAGTAAATTTTCTAAAGTGAACATTACTTTTTGAATCCATTATCCGAAACTAAAAAACAAGTTTAAATTAATAATATTTTGAAAATATAAATTTTGTTCGATTACAATTCGATGAAACCAATGAAATTCATTAATAAATAATAAAAAAAATTTACTTTTCAAGTTAAAAAACAATTTAAAATATTATTATTATTAGTGTGCTTTGAGAGTAAAAAACTCACTAAACACTAATGGCAATCACTAAATGTTCAAAGACAAACCCAAAATAAAACAATTAATCAATAATTCCAGTGAACTGTAAATTTAAATGTACTAATTAATTAACTTACAAATTTATATATATTTATATATATTAAATGTCAAATTAAAATGAAATCATGGTTTATTCATATGTATGAAATAAATTACGGTTGAATGCTCATTTTCATTTTATAAATAAATAATATTTAATAAACGTTATAAAAATCAATTCATCGATGGAAAAAAAAATAACTGGCTTTTTTTTTCACATTTCAGTTATTAATAAATTAATAAATTTAAAATATAATCTTTTTTTTTTTTTTTATCACATTTTAACCGAGGAAATTTGACATGACCGGTAATTTAAATAATAATAATAATAAATTCGTCTCGTTGTAATAAAAAAAATAAAAATTAAAAAAATAATGTAATGGTGGTTTAATGTTGTTATATACAAACTTTTTTAACCATTCATTTGTGATAATTTTAATAAAGTTTTACAAATAGTTTATGATTTTAAATAATATTTTACCTTGTTTTTAATCTTTTTACAATAAATTTATTTATTATATTGACGTCATTATTTAATTAAACGTCACAATTGATTACACCCGGTGAGAAAGAAACAAAATAAATAAATAATATTTATATATATATTGATGTTTAATTTATTTAAAATATGACAGAAAAAAATAATAAACAAAAAAATGATAATGAAGTAATGTCAAAAAAGTTATCCACATTAGCTGTAAGTAATTTTAAATTTGTTGTTATTATTATCACCATTTTATTTTAATTTATTCCATAAAATTCATCTCCATATTTTTAATAATATTTATTTGTTTTACATATTAAAAAACAAATTATATTTATTCAAGGTCTTTAAATTCTCTTCATTTTAAACATTTTAAGCCAAAAATCTAAAATTATCTATTGTTTACACAATTTCAAACTGTATGAAATTCACAATGTCGTTAAATAATTTTATTTAAAAAAAAAAAAAATTTTTCTGTGTTGTAGGAATCTGTCGAAGCTTTGTATAATTTTAGAGATCAATATTTTGAAAATCATAGTGTATCAGATGCATTTAATAAAACAGGAGATGTAAAAAAATTATTAGAAGAAACATTATTAAAATTTGAAGAGAATAAAGATGTCGAACCTAAAGAAAGAGCACAATATTTTTACTTGAAGGGTAAAGCATTAAATGTAACTCCAAATTACGATCCTAAAGCGGAAGAAGCTTTATCCAGAGCTTTAAAACTTGATATTAAATTATATGAAGCATGGAATGAATTAGGAGAATCTTATTGGAAAAAAGAAAATATATCGGAAGCTAAAAATTGTTTTCAAGGAGCTTTAAAACAAGTAATTTACAATTTTCAATTAATTTTTATTTAAAAAAAAAATAATAATAATAATAATAATAATAATTTTCGAAACAAACAAGCGTGACTTGTCAAAATAAAATTTTGTTGTTTTTAAAAAAAAAAACTTTTTGCAGTGTAAAAATAAAAAATCTTTGAGAAATTTATCAATGGTTATGAGAATGCAAAAACCTATTAAATATGAAGATAGAATAAAAAATATTGAAGATGGTGTTAAATTTGCTAAAGAAGCTGTCGAATTAGATCCGACAGATGGAACATCTTGGTCCGTTTTAGGAAATGCATATTTATCATCTTTTTTTAACTTAGCTCAATATCCATCGGTTTTAAATTTATGTAAATCTGCATATGCTCAAGCGGTAAGTCTATACAATAACATTACCTTTAATCATGTTAAAGAAAAAATTTTTTTTTCCATTTTCTAACTTTTGTATCATTCATTCTTTTATTTTTGTAGGAAAAAGACATTGTAGCAAAAAGTAATCCTGATTTATATTATAATAAAGCCATCGTTGCAAAATACGAAGAAGATTATTTATCAGCTTTAAATTCCTTTTCCCAAGCGAGTAAATTAGAACCCTCATGGCAAGAGCCTAAATTAAAAAAATCACAATTATTAAATTATTTATCTAAAGTAAATGAATTGTATAAGGATAAGGGAAGGATAAGAGTTAAAAAATTAAGTAAAATGTTATCCAATATGAATCCTGATAAAAATTTAGGGCCTTACAAGGGTGGAAAATACAAAGCGAAAAACAGTCAAGAAATTAAATTAACGCATTGTAATTTTAACGATTTAAAAGAAGGTTTAAACGAAGAAAAGGTTGTTCTCGGAGTTGTCGTTTGTTCGATACAAGATGAAGACAACGTACCATTGTTAGTATTGTATACTTTAAATGTTTTCCTCCTTTCCCATCTCCCCGCCTCCCCCCCCCCGAAAAAAACAAAATAATTTTATTATTATTATTATTATTAATTGTTTCAGCACTTTCATCATGGTTGACAAAAATGAATCGACAATAGTTGTTACAGTTTATAATTTGGCACAAGAAAAAGGTGTTTTAATAGGAGATTACGTAGCCGTACCCGAACCTTACCTAACATTAATTCACATACCGTTCGAAGATAAGGTAAAAATCAAAACGAAATAACTACCAATTTACTACATGTATATGATTAAAACAAAATTATCTTTTTGTTCTGATCGATCGATCGATCTCTCGCATATCGATCGATATTAATCGATTATTTTTTCCTTTTTTTTTCTAGGATTATTCATTTAAATCTATAAGAATAGTTAGTCCTCTCGTTATGGTTGTTAATGGTAAAAAATTAGATAAATCAAAACAAAGCGGTCTTCAATTTTCAACGTTTACACTCGCGGATTAATAAAAACACGCAAGCATGTACTAATACTTAATCCTCACACGACTGACACACGCAAAATACTAATAATAATAATAATTTGAATGTAAAAACGAATTAGTTTTTTTTCTATAATCGATCGATCGATCGATATATCGTTAGGGAAATCGATATAACATCGAAAATAACGCCGAAAACGTTAACGAAAAAACGTGCACAAATTTTCCCTTTTTTTTGTTTTACGCACACACCCCGTCTCCGCCCCCTCCGTTTACGTATTTTTATTTTTACGCATCCGTTTAAGTAATAATAATAATAATAATAATAATAATAATAATAATAATAATAATAATAATAATAATAATAATATTAATAATAATAATAATAATAATAATAATAATAATTGATATTATTATTAAAATATAAATAAAAACTTTTATTACACGTACATATATATATATATATAAATAAATTTTTTTTTTTTAAATTATTTTATTTTATAATATAACGCGTCGTTTAGGTTTTTTTCCCTTCCCCCCTCGTTTTATTTTATTTTTTATTTACATTGAATTATTATTATTATTATTATTATTATTATTATTATTATTATTATTATTATTATTATTTTAAACATTTTTTTTTTTAAACTAATTTTTCCTAATAATAATAATAATGATAAATCAAATTTTTTTTTTTTTTGGTTAACCGAAATAAACTAATTCTAACTCATGTAATAAAAAGACTAACTTAATTTAAGTACGATCCAAATAATAATAATAATAATAATAGTAGTAATTAATAATAATAATAGTAATAATAATGATAATAATAAGTAATAATAATAATTAATAATAATAATGAAAAATAAATATTTTTGTAATTTTATTCTTAAAAAAATGAAAAAAAGAAAAAAAAGTATTAAAAACTAAAAACATTTGTGATAATAATGATAATAATGATAACAATAATAATAATAATAATAATAATAATAATAATAATAATAATAATAATAATATTGATAAGGATTTTTAAAAAAAAGTATTGATAGATTTGTATATGTATATATATATACAAAGTTTTAAAAACGAAGACTTATTATACATAAAAAAAAAAAAAAAGTTTTTTGTTGTGACTCCTACTCGTTGAATCTCTCTCTCTCTCTCTCTCTCACACATTTTATATCTTAGTGAGAACGTTATTATTATTATTATTATTATTATTATTATTATTATTATTATTATTATACCTAACTCATCAAAATTATTGATAATGATAATGATTGATTGATTCATTCATTCATTATTATCTCGTTTAAATTTTTACAATTTTTCTATTTATATAAAAATCCATGCACAGCATTTATATAGAAAAAATTTATTTTTTTTCTTTCCTTTTCTATTCTATTAGAAATCTATCTATTCTTTTCTTTTCTATTTTATTATATACAGATAATATTAAATTAAATTTAAAAATAAGAGTATTAATAAAAATGGACTCTATTATGTTCGACTTGTATTGCCTTATTATATATATTCGTTTAAGAGACTGATCAATGTATACAATTTTTTTTATACACATTTTAATTCAAATGCATTTATTATTTATTCCTGAAAAATAATAATAATAATAATAATAATAATAAGTTGTGTTTTAAATAAGGTTGTGATATAAAAATTAATCGTTTTCTAAAATTCGAATGGGGGGGGGAGTTGAAAAATATTGAAATTATTTTTTATATGCTGTATTAACTAATAATAATAATAATTATTATTATCATTACTATTTAAAGTTTGTTTTTTTTTTTTAATTAAAAATAAATATCCTTGTCATGATAAAAGAAGGGAGTAAAGTTTTAAAAAAAAAAAAAGGTTAAAAAATTTCAACTTACAAATCATTGAGCCTGAAGTAATGGAGAAATTCCAACAGCTCTTGGATCAGATCCAGTAACAGCTTGTCCAGTACCAGGTTCTAAATTTTTCAACAATTGTGTCAACCAATGAGTCGTAGATTTGTCATCTTGTAAACAATCGGCAAATGTCGCATCTCTGAGTTGATCAGGCAAACATTGTCTAAGAGCTTCTCTTGCTCTGCACATAAAAGAAATCGTATTAACAATAATCGTTTAATTTAAATAAATTTTTTTTTTTTTTAAAAATAATGATACCTTGGATTGTCTGAAAGTCTCAGATAACATCTAACAACATGTTTTAAAAGTCTAGCAGATGGTTCTTTAGCAAGTGACAATACCATTTTACCTAATATCATTGCAACATGTGAAAACCTAAAACAAAAATTTCATTTTAAAAAAAATCGTAATGTATTCACATCAATTTCGAATCAAATAGAAAAAAAATGTATACCTATCATATGTCTGGCAAATATAACACAGTCCACTGTCATCTAATAAAATTTTTTGTAAGATAAATGTAGCAACAGTCTTTGAAAGCTCTGATCCGCTTTCCATTATTCTAAGGCAAAGCGGAATTATTTCAGTAGTAAGTAAAAATGTAATAACTTCTTGTTCATCAGTCTGTAAATATAAAAAAAATTACATTTTAATCAAACATACAAAAGAGAAGAAGTTAAATTTTATATTTGTTTTTGAGTGTTTTATTTTACCTTAACTAATGCTCCGATAACACCTAAACTTGTTAGCCTTAAATATTCGAAAGGTCTCGTTTTGCTCACAGTATGTAAAAATGGATATAAATACAAAGGTATGTGAGCTTGTAAAAATGCTGACCTAGTTTCAGGATGTGAAGCAACGCACTGTAATAAAGCTAATGCATTGCAAACTCTATTGCTTTGATGTGCATTCAACGTTGGAGGATTTATCGCTGGATATATATTAACTATTTCTTGCAAAAGTGCAGCCGTAGTACCAAACGAATGCCATAACATGGGTGCCAAATCAGGTACCACTTCTCTTTTTTTACTTAATTCTGATAATGCGTTTTCCCTCGTATCAGGATGTGTTAATTCTATTATCCACTGGTAAACTTTTTCCGCTTCAACCGACTGTTGTAAATTAGCAGGGCTTTGCTGAGAACTCATCCTTGCCTGTATGAGGTAAAAAATTATTTTCCTACTATCAAAAGTTAATTTGTTTACACGAATATTATTTTATTGAAAACTCATTTTCCATACAAAAAATATATTTAATTTCTTACAAAAAAAAAAAATTAAACTCATCAGGCCAAAGATGCCAATTTTTCTACTTTATGTTTATAAATAGATCGTGATAAACATATTACAATTAAAAATCAAACGAGGTGTTCATTATTATTATTATTATTATTACCTTTTATACGTATTATTATTAATTCATGAGAGACGAAAATAAAAAAAAAATTTTAATTTACGTAATAAAAAAAAAAAAACATATAAAATTATTTTTATTTAAAAAAAAAAAAAATATTTCTACGCGTGTAAAATATATATATATATATATATAAATATATATAAATACTCCCGGAATATAATCCCCGTCCGTATTTAAGAATTGACACTCGAAAAACAGTGTTGCCAATCCATATTTTACAATTTTACAAAACTTTTTTTTCCCATTTAACTAATTCGATTAAATATATTTATATATATATTTATATTAATAAATTCTTTTTGATTTATTTATTTATCTGTTTATTATTATTATTATTATTATTATTATTATTATTAAAAATTAAAAAAAACCGTTTCTCAAATTAATAAATGTTCCTAATACTTTTCACCCAACATATATATTCTAAATTATAACTTTTAATAAATAAATAAATAAACTTTTAATTATTATTATTATTTTAATAGTTTTATTAATAAATACGTTAATAAATACGTTAATTAATAATATAAATAACATACCATTTTAATTAAAACACGTTTAAAAACACGTGGGGAAAAAATAACAACAACCGTAAATTCTCTTAACAATATTTATTATTTATTTTATTAATTAAATTAAAATTTCATTATCATTATTATTATCATTATTATTATTACTACTACTACATAATTCACATTAATAATAAAATTTATGGGTTTGAAATTTAAAAAAATTGTTTGTTTGTAAACAGTAGGGGGGGGAAAATTATTTTTCCTTTTAAAACCTTCAAGATATTAAATCATAGCATTAGAAAAAAAAGTTTCCCTCCCCTTCCCCCCCCTTTTTCCTTAAGGGATGCGATTGTGACGTTTTCTTTGTTATATACGATAATATATCCTGTCTTTTGATCAGATGATATCAACCTTAACAAAAAAAAAAAAAAAAAAAAAATGGTAAGAAGAAATGAATGAGTGGGACCCATAAAAACCTTTTGTCTGAACAGTTCAGCCTGAACAAAATTTATATATGTGTGTAACAAAAGCTTAAGATTAAATGTATGAGACATAAGAAAACTATGCCAAATTTTTTTTTTTTTTAACATTGAAATAAATAAAATGACCCTTTATCAAATTCAATAAACAAAAAATAAAAAAAAATTTGTTATCATCAATATAAGATTTCAATGATGAGATTAAAATGATTTTTTTTTTTTGTAAATCACGTCGTACTCATCACATCGATCACCACCATTAGTTAGTAGTTGATTTTTTTTTTATAACGGTTTTAAAAAAATTTGTTTTTTTTTTTTTTTTTTAAATCCCACCCCACTGGGGATTTAAAACGCGCAATTCAATATGGCGAAATTATCATCGTCATTATGGATCGTAACGTTAACGTTTTTAATTAATTTATCGCGATGTGAAAAAATTCAAAATGTCTACCCCGCGATAAAATCATTCAACGTGGAAAATTATTTCAAATCCGAAACGTTTAAAGATTTATTAAAATCAGGAAGGTTGAGTGAGTTGTGTGGAAAACATTTTGAAATGTGGTTCGATGATTTGTCAAAAGGTGACGCTTGGGCTTTACAAAGTAAGTTATTATTATTATTATTATTTCCACCCCCTTCCCCCCCCCCAATGGATGATTCTGTCGTAACGACCCTCGTCAAATTAATTATTATTATTATTTCAAGTGATGGATTCCATAACGAAAATAATGGATGGTATTTTTATGGGTAGAATGCACGTACCTGGACATTTTGACGAATGCGTTGCCGTAAGACATCCGAAAGTGGAAAATTTCAAAGGAAAACATTGTTTGATACCTGTCGGATTGAAACTCAACGACAGTCAAGCCATCATAAAAGTAAATAAGAAAAAATTTCCCCGATCATTTTCCCTAAAAAACAACAAAAAAAATTTATTATTAATTAATTTACGACGTTTTGTTCGTTTTTTAAGGGGAAGGGGTGAAGGGAGAGGGAGAGGGAACGGTGTGTGTGGGGGGGGGATTTCACTGATAAATTTATTTAATCGACACATGATCGATCGTTAAAAGATAATAATAATAATAATAGTTCAAAGTTCCTTTTTTTTATTTCTGTAAACAAACCAAATACATCCGGTTTTACGTATCCGTTTCCGGTTTAAGAAAAACCACGTGATCCACCACGTACGTTAGAAATTTATGGGAAAAAATTTGTTTTTTCCACAGGCGGAAGAATTACAAATGAGTTTAACTTATTTTTATGGGATTTGCGTGCCATCGACTTGCACTCCGAAAGATGTCAATGAAATTCTTAATAATTTAAATTTCATCGATTTTTTACAATTTCACGAATTAACGGAAAATGATTGTTCGACGGATGAATATCGTGGTTTTAGATATGAAGATTGGATAGCCGTGTAAGTAACAATTTTTTCGAAATCCCCCATATCGCCCATGCGTTTACGAAAATTGAAAATTTTTTTATTTTTTATTCTTGAAGTAACGACTTTTTTAACGACTTTTAACGACTTTTAACGACTTTTAACGGCTTTTAACGGCTTTTAACGACTTTTTTTTAGAACGAAATTTAAATTTAAATTTTTAATAAAATTATTTTCATCGACTTTTATATACTCAACTTGGTATTTGTCCAGTTCAACCTTGATACCACCACCACATACTTTCAAGGTTTTTTTTTTTTTTCACTTGTATACCTAATTATTATTATTATTATTTTTTTTATGTGATATAATTTGTTTAAATGCGTCATTCGTATAAAAAAAAAAAAAAAATTGACTTTAAGCCGGTTTTTTTTTGTTTTTGTTTTGTCAAACTACGTCAATACTTTTTAAAAATTGTTTCCTTTTTTCCTTTTTTTTTTTTATTGGTTTTAATAATTTTCAGGATCGTGATTGGCGTATTACTTTCTTTAGCCGCCATAAGTACAATTTACGATCTCGTACATAAATTTACATATAAAAATGGTGAGGAAATTCGATGATTGTAAATAATTTTTTCAATTACGCCTAACAAAAAAAATAAAAAATAAAAATTTTCTTTTTTCTTTTCCAGAAAATTCAAATTTATTTCTCGCAAGTTTTTCAATTTATAAAAATGGAAAATCACTTTTTGGAACTTCGAAAGTTGGAAACGAATTAAAATGTATTTTCGGAATAAGATTTTTTTCAATAAGTTGGGTCATATTAGGTCACAGTTTTATAACTTATCTTTTTTCATTTCCAATCAATTTTGCCGATATGCCAAAGGTGTTGTGAAAAATGACAAAAAATTAGGGAATAACCGTCGCCATTATGACAAAAAATTAATTTTCTGCTTTTTTTTTTTCTAGTATTTCACCGACGAATCATTAGTTTTGATTAATAATGCTTACGTGGCAGTAGATAGTTTTTTCTTTTTAAGCGGTTGTTTGGCTTGTTTAGTTTTTTTCAGAGATATTTCCACGAAGGGAAATTTTGATGTTCTCGTTGCTTACATTCACAGATACATAAGGTAAATAATAAATTTTATTATTAACAAAACAACAGGAAAAGAGAGATTAATGTATGACGTCATCCGTATAGAGTCACTCCAGCATTTGCATTTATGATTTTCCTTCAATCGACCATCGTGAGCCGTTTGGCAAATGGTCCATTTTGGAACAGGAGCATGGATAAAGTCGAAAACGATTGCAGGAGTAGTTGGTGGCCTGCCATTTTATACGTACAAAATTACATTCAACCGGAAGCTTTGGTAAATAGAAAAAAAAACCTCACGACTCCATTTGGAATAATCGAATAATTTTTTTTAAAAAAATTTTCAGTGTCTCGGACAAAGTTGGTATCTATCAGCCGACATGCAAATGTTTTGGATATCGCCCTTTATACTTTATCCACTTCTAATATGGCCGTCTTTCGCTCCTTTTTTTTTAATTTTAATCATTTTGGCGTCTTCTATAACAAATTTCACGATTGCTTACGTCAACAAACTTCAACCCAGCTTGAGGTTAAATTTTTTTTTATCACGAGAAGCACAAATACTTTATCATTAATTATAAAAATGAATAAATTTTCAGCTTGGGTTTCACGACCACAGTTTTGACACAATTTAGAGATGATTATATCGCACTGCAGACGAGGATGGCTCCATATTTCATAGGAATAGCAACGGGTTATGTTATTTGTGGTATACAAGCTAAAAAAATCCGTATTAAAATGTCGATGGTATTAATCCAAAAGGTTTTTCCCCAAATGAAAATCCCTTCCTTCCTTACTTCCTTTCAACCATTTTTTTTTTTTTTTTTCAGTTGGTAGCATTTTTGGGTTGGATCATAGCATTCGGTTTATGCGGCGGAAGCCTTTTTGGAGTCATACGATTTTATTTCTACGATCACACACCATTGGAAGGTTCGTTGTATTTGGCATTTCACAGAGTCGGTTGGGCTTTAGGATTATCCTGGATTGTCATCGCTTGCGTGAGCGGTTACGGAGGTACGCGTTCCTATTAAATTAAAATTTTCCCATTTTTACGACGACGATTATTTCACTTTGAATTCATTTTCAGGTCCGATAAATCACTTTTTATCCTTAGAAATTTTCCAACCTCTTGCCAAATTAGCCTATTGTAATTTTTTACTTCACATGACTTTACAATATATTCGTTTATTTTCAACGAGAGTTAATCAATACGTAAGAAAATTCGATGCGGTGAGTTTTTATCGAAAAAAATTTTCTTTTCTTTTCCGATTTTATCATCATTATTATTGAAAAAAATTTTCTTTTCTTTAAACAGGTACATACGTTCTTTGGAGATTTTTGTTTATCATTTTTATTAGCCATACCATTAGCACTCCTTTTAGAATATCCTTTCGTTAATTTGGATCGATTTTTTTTTCGGAAAATTAAAATTTTACCTTTTCCCAATAATAATAATAATAATAATAAAACAAATTACAAAAAAAATTCATTAGATTTAAATAAATGTAACGAGTGCAAAGGAGAATTCGATAAAGATGTTGAAAAAGGTAAAGATAATCCTAGTTTTAAAGAATCCTAATCATCCATAAACATTATTATTGTTGTTGTTGTTATTATTATTATTATTATTATTATTATTATTATTATTATTATCGTTTTTTTTTTTTATATATCAAATATACGTAACGAACGTTTATAAAAATCTCAAATCCGTTTACAAATTTTTTCGAAAATTATTTTCCAATAATCTCGCGAATTCTTTTCGGTAACATCAATAATAATAATAATAATAATAATTTATTAAATCTGATTAAGTCGTCATCATTACGTAATCGTGCGTCGCCATATTGGAGAAAAAAAAAAAAAAAAACAAAAACAAAAACTGCACCCATTTATATTTTTCTTGCGTAATGGAAAAATTTTAAATTTTTTTTATTTTTAATTAGTATAAATACATAAAAACTATTAAATAACCTGTTTTATGTATATATATATTCCAACCTTTGTTATTAAATTTTTCTTTTATTATTAATTAATAGTCGAACGATTGACGGAAAAATATTTTAAATAAATTACAGAGCGGATTTTGATATAAAATCAAAATGGCCGACGACGCACGTGTTGGAAAAACGTAAACTCGAAATTTTTCATATTTTCTTTGTTTTTTATATGTCATTTGAATGCGTTGCACATGAATTTGGTGGTATAAGCTAAACAACGTTTGGGGTCAAAAGTTTTTTTTTTTTTCGTTAAAAAATGGGTAATTCCTTATCATCATCATCATCATCATCATCATCATTATTATTATTATCATCATTATTATTATTATTATTATTATTTCTCCTCATTTTAAATTATTTCATTTTTTAGTTTTATATATATATATATATATATATATATATATATATATATTTCGATGCATATTTAAGATTACGTTAAAGCAACACAAAAAAAATTTTTTTTTCCAAATACGCACGTTTAAAAACCGCGTACCTGCCGTACCTG